TCAAGTAAAGAACCTGTTTCTCCAGCCTGACATATAATATTAATTTTACTTGTAGGGAGAAGATATTAATTTTTATGTAGACCATTTTGTTCTGAACTTCATTATATTCATTTGACTCTCTCAACTTGTGAGATGCAAGTTAATGGTGTTGCATGCATGCTTTTACAGTTTTGGAAAGATGGTCTCATTTGGCAAGCATTTTAATGGCTACCTATTCACCTGGAAGACAGAAACACTTTTTTATCTGCTACAAAGTACCTACAGGGAATACCTGGAATTAAATATATCTATTTATGGGAACATAATTTAAATTTGGGGATCAAAAAGTACATATTGACAATCTTTGATGACCATTAAATATGTTTCAGGATGTTATAAAATAGTCAATCTTGTGAAAAAGATCACATTTGAACCCAATGTTTGTACAAAACATCGAGTACACTGGCTTTTGTGCTGTCTTCAACTTATTAACAATGTTTGTCATTATTTATGATCTTTGAGTAATTTTTAAAGAGGTACAGTGGTCCTTTATGTGTTGTGGTTAAAGGTAAGAAAAAGCTTTAAAGTACATTATTTTCATTTTATTTTGACTTATCTTTATTTTTTCACATTTTTATTGTTATTCAAGTACAGTTGTCTCCATCCCCCCCCCCAAAAATGTGTTAAAGGAATATTTTGACTTATCTTTAATTTCATATCTGTAGTATAAAATCATTTGAAATTACCCTAAGTAGGTCATTACCTTTTAGTCATCAGAACACACATGGTACCTTGATGGCTCTAATGGATTTTGGAATTTTAATTTCTAAGCTTCTGTTAATAAAATAGCAATGAGGATAATCAAAGTAAAAAAGACCTAATTCTCCCTTTCAACTCATGTATTTCTTGAGCCTTTGTTGTATGTTAAGCAAGAAATGAGGCACTTCGACATACTGGGTATCAAAGCTATAAAAACAAGTTAACCCTGAACCAGAACTTTTACTCATCTACAGAGTAGGCAATGGAATAGCTTCTGAAAAATATAAATCCATATAAAATCAATTTTACTCCCTCAGCGACTATTCTTATTTAATTAATTGTCATGATTGTGATCAATGTAAGACATGACAGAGAGTCTTGTTTACTGAAACATCTTTGGCCTTTAATTCATTAGCTGCCTCCATTCAATTTTTGTAATTAAAGAGCAGCTATGCTCAATAACTTTATTATCTACAGGAACCTGATAATCCTTAAGTAAGGGCTAAAGGTCCAATATTTTTTTTAAAAAAGGGCTATTATATTGTTAATCACAGTGTAGGAAAAAGATTCAGTAATAGGCTTGCAGTATTGGCATTTGTAAACCCATTAGTCCCTTTGAGAGTGATAAAGTTACTAATAGAGACTTTTATTAATGACCTACCCCATTCCCAAGTTTTGGTAAAGGATCCCTAGGATAATGTCCTCTCTCAACCTTGGAGCATCACCCTGCCTATTCTAATATAAATCTGTGATGATATTTTTGCTCCTTGACTCATAACATTGTCCTTTAAAATAGTTAAAAGCCTGTGGACCTTATATATTAAGCAGATGAGTCAATTTGATTGTAATAAAGCACACTGAATTTATTCTCTCATTGCACTGACAATCCTGTCATGTCTGAGTAACCAATCTGTTCAGGTCTGAATGCCTGGCCACACTTGAGAAATTGGGACCATACCCTGGTGGACCTGCCAGCAAAGCTTGATGAACACCTCTCCAGAATGTTCCAAGATAATAGATATTAATGCTACAGTGCCTTGAATGTTTCTGTGACCTTGTAAGAGTAGTACTATTCTTCTCTGGTCCTAGTTTAAGGGCTCAACATCTTGGACAAACTGCCAGGATTTCTCCACTTCCTATTTCCCACCATCAACCTTCATTAAACACTTTCTTAAATGCTAAGAAACTATAAATTTATACTGCTCTCATCAGACAAGTCTTCCCTTTAGAGAAGGTCTCTCTTCACTGGAATTCAGAACACTGCAGTGGGATGGAAAGGAAGTCAGCACTAAAACATGCTTGGGTTTTACCCACACTGTAGGAGTGTGTGTGTTTGTGTATAGTTCCATGCATTTAGAGGAAAATTAACCAGTTTCTATTTTTAATTTTTTATTTTTTTTATTTTTAGAGAGGGAAGGGAGGGAGAAAGAGAGAGAGAGAGAAACATCAATGTGCAGTTGCTGGGGGCCATAGCCTGCAACCCAGGCATGTACCCTGACTGGGAATCGAACCTGCGACACTTTGGTTCGCAGCCCATGCTCAATCCACTGAGCTATGCCAGCCAGGGCAAAATTAACCAGTTTCTAATTCCACCACTATACCCAGAAAGATTTTAGCAAGATAAATATCCCACTACTTGACCAAAATTTTTAATGGAACAATGGGCAGAACCCCTAACATCTTCCACTCAGTGCATTATTATGCACTTTAAAAATATGATTATTCTTTGAATGAGTCTTAACTCTGAAGCATTAGATAAGTATATTTCAATAATGACATTAATCATGATTTAATATTTTTATTTTTAGAGGTTGAACAATGGTTCATTGAAGACTTTAATATGGAACTTATTCTCAAAGATGATTTCAATACATTTTAAAGTTAGAATATAGATTGAATACAAATCAATTTAAATAAGTACATTTCTAAAGGAACTAAGGAATATCTATAAGATCCCATTGAATGCATAAGGCATTATTCCTAGTTTTATGGATACTGTCTTAATTAAATAAGTCCTGGGAGAAAATAATTAGTGATTAATTTAACTATAAATTGGTACCATTGAAAATATTAAGATTTATGTATACTAATGGTGTGTGTGTATGGTATGTGTGAGTGTGGGTGTGTGCATATGTGTGATTATTGGTACCATTGAAAATATTAAGATTTATGTATTCTGGTTTGTGTGTATGGTATGTGTGAGTGTGGGTGTGTGCATATGTGTGATTACTACTTTGTCTATTTTACTATCTAAATCATTATCCTTCTTATTGCTTCCTTTGAGAGCCTTACCTTACTTCAACATACCTAATCACCCATAACTTCACTTTTCTAGTTTTCAAATATTTCCAATGCCTTTTATTTTGGTAAGGGTTTTGATAAAAAAAACAACAACTAAAGTACACTAAAAACAGTACTCTCTCCCAATACTGCTCAACCTACCACAACTTTCGTGCTTCAAATAATAGGGCTAGGGAATTGGCTTGCCAGGAATCCACTTCTGTGATGAGCCAGAGTTCACAAGTGTTTTTTTCTATTACTGTCCACTGACTATGAAATTTAATTGTCCCTGCACTTTCTTGTTTTAGCAGGCAAAGGATACAAAAAGTCCAAATAGATTAACATGCAAATTGAAAGTATTTATTACATATTAACCTCTTTAAATATTTTTAGTTCTATTTGGCTACCCAACATTTCAATGTTTCTTCTTAATATATGCCTGCCGTGCTTTCTTCACTAACACCTTATCTTTAAAGCTACATTACACATTATACAATCTCTCTGGCTTATTTATTTTGGGACATCTCTGTATATGCAGCTCACCATTGCCTATGTTTATTAGAATAACAACCACAGAGCACAATGGGAGTTGACTTTCTAAAATAGTTTACTCTCTTACTGCCTTAAAATATGATTTTAAAATAAAAATTATTTTTGAAAATTAACTTTGAGTAAATATTATGAAGAAAAATGAATTCTTAAAAGACCTTGTTCTACATGTAACTTAAATGAGAAAATTTTCTGAAATTCAAACATACCAAGCTCCTTTTGCTCAGTGATGAAGTACTTGCACAAAGTTTCTCATGGCTATTTTGGTGTACAAATGTATAATAATGAAGGAAATAAACTGACCTTAAATTGTTTTCTCTTTAAACTACTGCATTTAAAAAGTCATAGACACTCATGAATAAGCCAGCTTTAGGATCACATTGTTGTGTCACAATAACAGAAATTTGAATCACATTTAATTTTTAAAAAATTTATGGATTCAGGTTCTCCTAAATTTTCATTATTGAGATACTGAACTTTTGATATAAGTTGTTGTGAAAATCCAAATCATTATTCCTGGCAATAAAGTGCCAAGAAAATAATGTGCTATCATGAAATCACAAATAGTCAGCAGTTTATATATTTTGGTAAACAAGGTAGTTTGAAAATTATGATCCCACTAGCACTGTCTTCAGATATTAGAAGTAGACTAGAGGAATCACACTGAGGTATACTTTGTGGTAGTTCTGTTGCCTCTCTATTGTCCCAGAGAACTAACTATGCTTTGAGGATTGGTATGCAGAAATTACGCTTTTCACCAAGTAGCAGCTACCATAGGTGATGAAAAACCACCTATGTATGGAGTGTATAACATATAGTGATGATAAACTAGCACAATTTTCAGTACTTTATATTTGTGGGCTTAGGTATTTGATCAAAGTTGTATTTTTTCTTTATTTTCATTTTTTACCTATAACATTAAATTTCTACATGTGGACTTATCACTATTAGATTAATTTTCAATTTTACAGAAATAGAAATATAAAAAAAGAAAATTTAGTACTTAAAAATTTTGTTATTACACTTTTAATAACTGAAGGGAAAATTTTTATAGTTTAATCTGGGGTTGGGAAATTATTCAATGTTGTCTGATAGTCACACTGTTGGCCAGATAAGAATTTTGATAAATCAACCAACCTGTTCTTGGGGGTAGAATTTGGTGTCTACATTAAACTATTCAAACAACATCAGCAACAACAAACTAATTCTACAGTACATGTGTATAGGAATTCAGTCCTGTATTCAGGCTTGGAAGTGTATGATTTGGTGGATTTACAAGTGATTTCCCATCTTTGGGAGTCCTGGGGAAAATAAAGCATCTGAGGTTTTCTTTCTTTTTTTTTTAAGATTTTATTTATTTATTTTTAGAGAGGGACGGGAGGAGAAAGAGAGAGAGAGAAAAAAACAATGTGTGGTTGCTGGGGGTCATGGCCTGCAACCCTGGCATGTACCCTGACTGGGAATTGAACCTGTGACACTTTGGTTCGCAGCCTGTGCTCAATCCACTGAGCTATGCCAGCCAGGGTGATTTTCTTTCTTCTTATAGGGAGAAAACCAGCTTAGCTTGTGGTGAAAAGAATCCATTTGGTTTCTAACTGTGTGCTTAACTGTCATGGAGCAATGAGAAAATTGATGGTTTTTCCCCCTTTACCACTGTAGTTTTCTCCAGTCATGTAGTCCTTAGTCTGGTTTATATCATAGTCCTTATTATTTGCATCTTATAATATAATCTTTAGTCCTTTATATGACTTTGAAAATTACTGTATAGTTTGTTGTTACATTTATTTTTTTTTTAAAAACCTCATTCAGGGGCAATTCTTTTCAAAGTTGCCTGAAATCTAACTCAATACAGATTTCTTTACTCTGTGTTATAAAAATCTGAACACAGATACTGTCTAAACCATCCAAAGAAAAATGTTTGAACTCACAGTAACAAAAATTACAAAATTTGTGCAAAAGACATTGTACACCACTGGAGTACATAGAGCTTGCTGTAGTTCATTTTACACATTAAGCTCCATTTCTCATTAGAACTATTCTGTGGTACATTAAAGGTGTCTGTCTGATTTAATTTTTCCCTAATAATACAATTGCATGCTCATTTAACCTCATAAATTTTAAGATGCAAATTGCATGTTTATGATATTTGTAAATGTTGTAATAAATCATTGGAACCTTTTAAATACCATAATTGCTTTGTGGCTCTTCAAATTTTCCAAGGGTCATAAAGTAAACCCGGCTGTGGCAATTATGCAGGATAGAAGTAAAGAACAGCTTTAAAAAGAAAGAAAGATGCCATCAGTAAATGTTTAGTATATTGTAAACTGATAGTTTATATATACAACTGTAATTTAAATGTATCTGCATCAAACAATTAAAATATTTAGGCATACTGTTTTTCAGAGTAGGATTTTCTCAAATTAAAAATAAATTTTAAGATAATATATATTTAAATTATATATTAAAACAACCTTTTACCAAATTCTATATAATGACATTTCACATGATTTAAATAAAATTGGGTTATCATAGGTGGCATTTATCTGCTAAAGTTTTTTTTTAGTTTGGGTTAACAATTGTTCTTTGCTTAAAAAAATCTACTTTTAATCAACTTAGTTTTCCTTTTTATAATATAAAGAAATAATTAAGTTATTTTGATGTTGTTCACCATTGTTCTTGGTGTTTATGACATTTTCTACTTGGTGCAATTTTAATTTTCTCTATCAGTGCAACACATTGACATAGTAAAATGATATTATGAGCTAAACTGATTCATTTAGAGAGAAACATGTTGTGCAAATATGTTCTGTGCCATAAAGATAATTAGAACAGAACATGAGGCTTTTTGTTAGTATTAAGTCCTTGACTATCCACAATGGATAATCTTAGAAGATTTTGTGACAACAATGATGTTGATGATCATAACACCAGCTAACTTTGACTTAACACATTTAATGTGCTAGGCAATCTGTGAGATGCTCACTATGTATATATTATATATTATCACTAATTTTCAAAATTGTTCCAATACTAATTATTAATTTATCATTCTGAAGATGAACAAACTAAGGCTCCCAAAATTAATCAAAATTCCAGGTTCTTACATGTAGTCAGGAGGCAGAGCCAGGACTGTATCTTAGGTCTATTTGACTTCAAACACCTGTTCTTGCCATTATATCCCTTTATATTGCAAACTAGTACCTTTTCTTGATGCATAGTACTTTATCATTGTTGTTTTGCTATAAAGTAGAATCATCTGCAATCTCTTCTAAATGTGATCATTTCCTAGTCCTATTGAGATTATTTTTTCTCATTATTTCTGATAATATGTAGGACAGTAATGATTTTATTCAATGCATTTTTCCATCTAAACTATTTTGAATTGGCTGTTGAAACTGATCACATTATACAAATAATTGCTGTATCTTGATTTTATTTTTCTTCCTGTAAAATGGACATAATTATATCCATGTGTAAAGATTAAATGTAGCTGTAAAAGTAGTTAGTACAAACTCTAGTACATAACTAGGTGTTCAGCAAACATAAGTATTTTCCTTCTATTACTGGATTACGTTGAAAAATGTAAAAGGCAGATTTAATCAAGCATTCTGTTTCAAAATATGTTAATATCCACAAGAAAAGAATTATGTGTTAAAGACAATAAAGGATTTTGCACCAAACAAAATAATGACAAAGCTTTACTTAGGACATAATTAGAATTTTTAACTTTTTTGAAAATTGTTTCTTTTGGAAATCAAATCTCATCATTTACCAAGTCAGTGTTTCTACTGCCAAATGCAAAATAGTTTTTTTAATCAATAGTATGCTAATTTGGGAAATGTAGCATAAATATATTTATGGTCAGAAGGAAAAGGATATACATTTCTTCACTTAATTTTCATTGTTTGCTTTATTTTTTCTAACTGGAGGATGTGAGTTATACCTTGTCACCTCGAGTACATAGAAATCTCAGCTTCTTACTTGACCTGTGCTTCAATTCATTTTCCAGGAGCCTTGATTGCAAAGAGTGGACTTCAATGGCCTTTTGGCCCCATCCTGTGGTTCTCTGTGTACATGCATAAGCTAAGTTAAAAAAAATAAAAATCAGAAAAACACAACATATTTCTATCAGTGATAGAGAATTGTAACCACAGTCATCATTTTATTAAGAAGCTGACTTTTACAGTTCTAGAAAACACATATCTTTCCTTTTTCTATATTCAGTCATTTGGCCATTTTGCTGGTCAGCAGTGGTGTTAAAACCAGCTATTTGTTCTCAGCATTGTGATTAACACTAAATAATCAGATATCAATTAATTTTGGCATTCATATTCTCCAATATTACAGAAAAAAGCTAAGGGTAAATTCTACCCTGTTGGTAGAAAGTCAAATTTACCCACAGTCATCCTTTATTTTACAGTCTAGTTGAGTTATAGCATTCCAAAAGGGTTTGTAATTGTGTTCAAGTAACATACATTGAAAACAGACTAACTTTTAAAAATTAAAACTATTAAAAAATGACTTGCTCAAATAATGACTTTAGCAACTCTAATGCAATTCAGTGAATTATTATGTTATGAAGAAATCTAGAGCTGATTTTTTGCTGTTAACACTTTCTCTTGCTCAGGAAATTTTTATAATTCTTCAACTTTCATACCCTGTTTTATATTACTTGGTGACAGTAAAAATTATGACAATTGCTTTAAAGCAGAAAACCTCATTATATAAATATCCATATAGTTAGCTGTTTTTGTAAGGTATTTTTGACACAGGAGGCAGTGTTATTGTTAAATGTTTAACTTCCAAATTGATATTCTTTATGTACTTTATAGGGAAGCAAACTTCCATAAATAAATACAATCCTGTACTTAAAATAATATCAAAATTTTGAGTCAAGTTAAAGTAGTCTAAAAATCACTAAAACAAGGCACCTTCACCCCCATGACATGACTAAAATTAGAATTCAATTCATTACTTTTTTTCTATTATGAAGGCAATAAACTCAGCATTGATATGATTACAATATCATTTAAACTTTTTTCTTGTCTTTCTCAAAGGTTCTAGGATACATGCATTTAAACCAAAATGTATCTGGCCTATATATGTGTATATTAAATATTCATTGAAAGAGTCATGAAAAATTATTAAACTTTTATGAAAGTTAATTTTCATAGGCAGTGTGAGCCATTTTGAATCCCTCAACTAAAGCTTGACAAGAATTTATTTATTGCTCCCTTCTATATTACAATTCAAAATATTCCTGCAAATGAAATCAATGTAAAATTATAATTCAATTACAATCATTTTATTGAGACAATTATCTCTTAAAAGAAGATTTTATAAGTCTAATTTAGGATTAGAATTAAAATCACTCCAATTATAAGGGAAGTAAAATGAATCCATAGTCTGAGTGATGGGGACAAGTATTAGATTTAGTCTCTCTGGATTTGAATTTTTCATCTATGTGAATATGTCATTAAAATTGAATTTTTGTCAAGAACCACAAAGAGCAAACATTTCTAAACTTAATGCACAGGTTACTTGTTGGGTCAAATACACAGTTCATATGGCATTACATAATTTCCAACTTAATTTTGAAACACACTAACCTGTAACTTAACCTAGCTACTGAGCTAGCCTTTTTATGAGGTGGAATCAAATGATTTGGGTGGGAATGCTTTGTGGTATTTGCTGTGATTGTTAAGCTTGTATATATATTTTGAACATCTAGATAAATGATCTTTTTATTGAACACATTAATATATTTCAAGAAAATGTAAAAGATTGGGGAACTCTGGATCTAGGTTAGTTTTAATAACAAACAAGTTTTTTTTATACAGGAAAAAAGTAATAGATTTCCCTAATATCATTGTTATACTGTAGTCTTTAGTATACTCTCGAAACACCCTTAATACACAAAACAAAATATCAAGTTCTCATGGTGCTATAATTCATTTTATATATAAAAAGATGGTTTTCAGATTCTAACAACTAAAGTATCTTTTCTGTTTTAAGTCAGAAGTTGTGCACAGGCCTAAAGTCTGGAATGTCAGTTTGATTCCCAGTTAAGGCACATGCCTGGGTTGCAGGCTAGGTCCCCAGTTGGGGGCATGCGAGAGGCAACCTATTGATGTTTCTCTCACACATCAATGTTTCCCTCCCTCTCTTTCTCCTTCCTCCCCTCTATAAAATAAATAAATAAATAGATGATATATAGATAGATAGATAGATAAACAAATAAATAAGATGCATTGTCCTAAAGACAAGAGATATACCAGATGCCATTTTAAGATCTCTTGGATTCCTATGATAGTCTAGTGGCTTTGTTTTTCTAGGGGTGTGTTCAGTTTTGCATTTAAACTGAATTTTCTTATGATAATTTCTGATTAATAAATTGAGCAAAAGATACCACTACAATGGTTAGATCTAGATTCATTATTTTCCATTTTTTGTCCCAGATCTATTACTTATATTGTAAGCATTTACCTTCAGTCACTTAAAATGGTTTTAAATCCTCTGTGAGCTCTTACTTGTTTGAGGTAAATTAGAGTACGTTTTCAGTTCAATCCTTAACACTATGTATGTAAAATTAAAGGATTCTACAGTTGCAATGCAAAGTCCCATAATGGAAAAAAATGTCCACTTAAAAGCAGTTCTTTTAAACTTGTCCTTATATCCCCATGAGGATCACATTTAAGCCTTTAATAGAGGTTTCAGAAGCTTCTGGTTTCTCTATTGAAAAACTATCTTACTCTCCCTTTCTCTTTTCATTCTTTCTTCATTTGCTTTATTAAACTCCTTCTCCTTCCAGGAATATTTATCTTCCATAAAACCATTCTACTCTCTCTCAGTTTTTACTGTTCATATGCATTCTGTTCTTGATCTAGAATCACCTCTATAGTCACCAAATCTCAGAGATATATACAAGAATCTCAAGTTATTCAAACTTCCCAGATCTTCAGTCCTGCATTAGTAAGGAAGGTGAGGATGAAAAGGCAATGTTCTTTATTTTGCTATGTGGGTGGTACCTAATAGGCACTGTAGTCAGTCATATTTATCACTTTTGTAAATGAAGGATGATAAAATCTTAGTGACAACCAATATGTCATATATTAAGCTTGTATTTAATTCTTCACAAGACTACTACTCACTAAACAGAACTCTAATGGCTGTATGAAATAGAAACCTTTTGCTCTTATTTTATGACTGTCATTCTTCTAAGAAAAAGTTAAACCTCAAAATCAATGTGACAGAATGAAGCATTTTTAATATCTGTGTAAAATCTTCAAGCAAAGGGAGTTAAAATAAAATTATACAGTATTACAAAAAGGAATTCATTTCTTATTTTAATTATGTGATTATTGTAAATGAACAAGTAAGCCAAAATCAGTCTCTCTGTGGTGGCCACAAGGATTCATTTAGTATACAATAAACACATACCCCATAACTAGGCAAACAACTTTGCAGTATCACAAATTAACCCTATATGCTTTGAGAACATGTTGTTTCAGGAAATGGAAGTTTTTATGGGATCATGTGAAAAAGGAAAATTTTTATACATACCTGCTGAAGATGGTATGTCTTTCCACACTTCAAGGATGTTCTTGAAGAGGTGTTCATTTGCTTTCATAGAAAGGGCTTCAACATTGAAGGTGAGCATCATGCCAACTCCCAAGGAATGAGGTAAAATGATGATATTCTGTGGTATAATGATTTTCATAGGCTGGAATTATGTTTCATAAGGATTTATATGTTCAAAATTTAATCACTACTACTTTAATTGATGCAGATTGGTTTATCAATAAAAACCAAAAGGGGATTCAAAGTGCAGGGAATAACAAAAGTTTTATCTCAATATTAAACAACATGCTATCCAACATTTAAAAAGGAGGTTTCCTATGTCACAAAGTCAACACTACTTAATATTCTTTATATTTTGGAGAAATCTTTGAAAAGAGTAGAGATATATCTCCAACACACAGAAATTCACAAAAATTTCACAAACTATTATGTATAATGAGAAGAATCATTACTTGTTACAGAGTTGGATTTCAACATAATAATAAATACTTCAGTAATGAATATGTGAGTCAAGTAACAAATGTACAATCACTGATTATTTGCCAATTCATTCAAATCAGAAATAGAAAATTAACTTAAAAATAACTTGAGCTTAATATGTTTACAAGAGGAAACTATACTATTCTTCAGTGCTTGAAATATAATCCTCCCTTCACAAAATGTAAGATTTTTAATCCAATTTATAAAATATTAAAATACCTTCACTATACAAATTCAGAGATATATTAGGTGACATAATATCAAATACTAAGAAATATCTAAGAATTTCTAAATTGCATGATGCATAAAACTATGCAACAGAATTTGCTTAAACTACAGATATTGTCATGTTGCAGTATTTCCCTGAGAAATGAACAATTGCAATCTTCTATCATGTCTCCAAATTAGCAAGTTACAGGGTGAAAGAGTAGAAACTATACTTGCCAAATCCAGCATACTCAGGCCAAGTGCTTGAGGCCATGTGTCAGCAACAACAATCCTTAAAACTAAAATGGGAATCCAGAGGCGAAAAGCAATTTTTATGCGTTCTCTGGGCACTTGCATGAGCAATTTAATCAGAAAAAAAGATGAAGGAAGAGAGAAAAAGGAATTGCAGGAAAGAAGGTTGCCTCAAAAAATCTTTTAAAGATAAAGATGGACTACTATATATCCAGACAGCCTGAGAGGTTAGCTCTCTTGCTTCTCATGTAGTTCCTGAAGTAGCCAGATATTCTTTAGTACACATGATTCCTTGTAGCATTACAGCTTTTGTAATCTACCACTCTTGAAAAAGATATTTTTAGTACATGCCACTTCAGAAAAGACTGTCCCTTATATTAGATTATTTTCTCACTTTGTAGGTCAAGACACTAGGGTATTTAACTGAAAATACTATTTTTAAACATACTTCAGGTCTGTTAACTAGGTTAGAAATTTTTAAAAATTCATCTTTTCTCCTTGCTTCCACAATAATTACTTTATTGCTGAAAAATTAAATGATTCTCCTTGCCTAATACTTCACTCACAAATACGTTTTAATCTCCCTGAACGCCTATTTTTTTTTCAAAGTTAGGTAATTTATTATGTTGTTTCATCAAAACAGAAAATGGAAAATGGAATGTGAAAAATATACTATTTAGCTTCATTACCATAATCATACTTCTGTTTTGAAACAAATGGTAGAAATTACAGTCAAGAAGGATTTGTTAAGCCCTGGCTGGCATAGCTCAGTGGATTGAGTGCGGGCTGCGAACCAAAGTGTCGCAGGTTCGATTCCCAGTCAGGGTATATGCCTGGGTTGCAGGCCATGAACCCCAGCAACTGCACATTGATGTTTCTCTCTCTTTCTCTATCTCCCTCCCTTCCCTCTCTAAAAAATAAATAAATAAAATCTTTTAAAAAAAGAAGGATTTCTTGCATGCAGAAAGAACCCCAAATCATCAAGAATTATGCATTACTGCAAGATTTTGAAAATTGAAATTAAAGATTTACAACTCTTGAGGCTTTCCCAATAATACTGTATTGCAAACCTACTTTTAGTTAAATTAAAAGAGTTTCACAATAAATGGTAGGATTTTTTTCTTTTTTATTGTTGCTGTTCAAGTACAGTTGTCTCCATTTTCCCCTCACATCTGCCTGAGCCCCACCTATCCCTACTTCCCACTCTCGATCCTACCCACTTTAACTTTGTCTGTGCGTCTTTTATACATGTTCCTTGACCACTTTTCCCCTGCTTTCTCCTGTTATCTGGTTAGTCACTTTGTTCTTTATTTAAAATTATTTTGTTGTTATTCAATTACAGTTGACTGCACTTACCCCACACCACTCTTCCCACACCAGCCACCCCCAACTCCTTCCCTTGCTTCCACCTGCCATGGTTTTGCCCTTGTGTCCTTTATTGTTGTTTCTAGAAACCTTTCCCCCCTTCCCCCATTATCCCTCTGGTTACTGTCAGATTGTTCTAAATTCCAATGCCTCTGGTTATATTTTGCTTGCTTGTTTGTTTTGTTGATTAGTTAAACTTAAAGGCGAGATCACATGCTTGGCTCAGTGCTTGGCTTATTTCACTTAGCATAATGCTCTCCAGTTCCATCCATGCTGTCAGAAAGGGCAGGAGCTCATTCTTTCTTTCTGCTGCACAGTACTTCATTGTGTAAATGTACCATATTTTTTGATCCATTCATTTACTGATGGGCACCTAGGTTGCTTCCAACACTTAGCTATTGTAAACTGAGATGCTATGAATATTGGGGTGCACAGGTTCTTTTGGATTGTTGTTTCAGGGTTCTTAGGATATAATCCCAGCAGTGGAATTGCCCAGTCAAAAGGCAGATCCACTTTTAGTTTTCTGAGGAAATTCCATAGTATTTTCCACAGTGGCTGTACCAGTATGCATTCCAACCAATAATGCACTAGGGTTCCCTTTTCTCCACATCCTCTCCAACACTTGTTGATTTATGAAGGACATTATGACCTGTGTGAAATAGTATCTCATTGTGGTTTTAATGTGCATCTCTGATGGCAAGTGATGCTGATCATATTTTCATGTCTCTTGGCCCTTTGCATATCCTCCTTGGAGAAGTGTCTGTTCAAGTCTTTTGTCCATTTTTTAATTGGGTAGTTTGTATTCCTGGAGAGGAGTCATATGATTTCTTTATATATTGTGGAGATAAAACCCTTTTCTAAGATATCATTGGCAAATTTGTTTTCCCATATAGTTGGTTCCCTTTTCATTTTAATGCTGTTTTCTTTAGTCATGCAGAAGCTTTTTAATTTGATGAGGTTCCATTTGTTTATTCTTTATGTCACTTGCTCTAAGGACATATTGGTGAAAATATTGCTGAGTGGAATGTCTGATATTTTCCTGTCAATATTCTCCTCTAGGACTTTTATGTTGTCATGGTTTATATTTAAGTCTTTTTATCCACCTTGAATTTATTATTGTGTATGGTGTAAGTTGGTAATTGAGTTTCATTTTTTTTTTGTATGGAACTGTCCAGATCTCCCAACACCATTTATTGAAGAGGCTATTTTTACTCCATTTTATGTTGTTGCCTCCTTTGTCAAATATTAATTGAATGTAGAGACTGGGGTTTATCTCTGGGATCTCTGTTCTGTTCCATTGGTCCATGTGCCTGTTTTTATGCCAGTACCAGGCTGTTGTGATTACAGTGACCTTGAAATACAGTTTGATATCAGGTATTGTTATCCCTCCTACTTTACTCTCCTTTCTCAAAATTGCTGGAGCTATTTGGGTTCATTTATGGTTTCATATAAATTTCTGAAGTGTTTGTTCTATATCTGTGAAATATGGCATTGGTACATTAATAGGGATTGTGTTGTATCTATAAATTGCTTTGAGTAGTATGGGCATTTTGATGAAGTTAATTCTTCCAATCCATGAGCATGGTACCTGCTTCCATTGGTTTGTGTCTTCTTTAATTTCTTTCTTCAGTGATGTATAGTTTTCTGAGTACAGGTCTTTACCTCCTTGTTAAGTTTATTCCTAGGTACCTTGTTTTTCTTGTTGCTATACCAAATGAGATTTTTTTTTCTGATTTCTGTTTCTGATATTTCATTGTTGGTGTACAAAAATGTCTTTGATTTCTGAATATTGACTTTGGATCTCACTGTTTTGCTAAATTCACTTATTAGGTTTAGTAGTTTTTTGGTGCATTCCAGAGGATTTTCTATGTACACTATCATGTCATCTGCAAAAAATGATAGTTTTGCTTCCTCCTTTCCAATTTGGATGTCTTTTATTTTTTCTTGTCTGATTGGTGTGGCTAAGTCTTCCAATATTATGTTGAATAGCGGTGGTGAAAGCAGACATCCTTGTCTTGTTCCTGATCTTAGTGGGAAAGCTCTAAGTTTTTGCCTATTGAGTATGATGTTGGCTGTGGGTGTCTTGTACATGATCCTTATTATGTTGAAGAATGCTCCCTCTATTCACACTTTGCTGAGTGTTTTCATCATAAATGGGTGCTGTACTATATCAAATAATTTTTCTGCATCTATTGATATGATCATGTGATTTTTGTCTTTCTTTTTGTTTATGTGATCTATCATGTTTATTGATGTGTGAATATTGCACCATCCTTATGTCCATGGGATGAATCCCACTGATCATGGTGTATGATTTTTTAATGTATTGCTGGGTATGATTTGTCAATATTTTATTGAGCATTTTAGCATCTTTGTTCATCAGTGATATTGGCCTTAAGTTTTCCTTCTTTGTTATGTTTTTTTCTGGTTTTGGAATTAGGATGATGCTGGACTCATACAAAGAATTTGGGAGTCTTCCCTCTTCTTGAATTTTTTTGAATAATCTGTGAAGGATGGGGGTTAGCTCTTCCTTAACTGCTTTGTAAAATTATCTTGTGAAACTGTCTGAATCAGGGCTTTGGTGTGTTGGAAGCTTTTTGGGTACTGCTTCAATTTCATCATCTGTTATGGTCTGTTTAGGCTTTCTCCTTCTGCTTCATTCAGTTTTGGAAGATTATATTTTTCTGGAAATTTGTCCATTTCACCTAGCTTTTAAAATTTCTTGTCATACAGTTCTTCATAGTAACTTCTTGCAATCCTTTGTATTTCTGTGGTATCAGTTGTAATCTCTCCTCTTTCATTTCTGATTATGTTTATTCAGGTCCTCACCCTTTTTTTCTTTATGAGTCTGACAAGCTTAAAGGCTTGTCAGTTTTGTTTATCTTTTCAAAGAAACAGCTCCTGTATTTATTGATCCTTAGAATTGTGCTTCTAATCTCTATGTCATTTAATTCTGCTCTGATCTTTGTTATTTCCTTGTTTCTACTTGCTCTGGGCTGTCTTTGTTGTTCCTCAAGTTCTTGTAGGTGTAGGGTTAGATTATTCATTTGAAATGTTTCTATCTTTTTCAGGTAGGCCTGTATCACTATGAATCCCAGGACTGCCTTCACTATTCCCCATAAGCTTTGGAATATTGTGAGTTCATTTTCATTTGTTTCCGGAAACACTCTGATTCCTTCCTTGATCTCATTACTAACAAATTTATTGTTTAATAGCTTGCTATTCAATCTCCATTAATTTGAATATTTTTGAATTTTTTCCTTGATGCAAGTTTCTAGTTTCAAGCCCCTGTGCTCTGACAAAGTGCTTGACATGATTTAAATTTTCTTGAATTTATTGAGGCATGTCTTGTGGTCTATCTTTGAAAATATTCTATGTGCACTTGAAAAGAATGTGTAGTTTGCTTCTTTGGGATGAAAGGTTTTACATATACCACTTAAGTCCATTTGATCTAGTGTGTTGTCCATTGCCACTATATCCTCATTGATATTTTGTTTGGAAGTTCCATCCATGTTTTACAGTGAGGTGTTAAAATCCTCTAGTATTAGTGTGTTGTTTCTATATCTTTATTGAAGTCCTGCAAGATTTTCCTTTTATATTTGGGTGCTCCTATATTGGGTGCCTATATGTTTACAATTTTTATGTCTTCTTGATTTTTATGAAGTGTCTGTGTCTCTTTTTATAACCTTTGATTTGAAGTCTATTTTGTCTTATATAAATATTGCTACCCGGGTCTGTTTTTTTCGTCAATTTGCTTTTAATATTTTTTCCAACCCTTTGCTTTCAGTCTGTGTAGGTCTTTTGTTCTGAGGTGGGTCTTTTGTAGGCAGCATATGTGCAGGTCATATTTTCTTATCCATTCAACTACCCTATGTCTTAAGATTGGAGTTTTTAATCCATTTACAGCTAAGGTCATTATTGGTCGATAGTTATTCATTGCCATATTTTCTCCTTTGTGCCTCTGTTCTTCTCTCTCTCTCTCATTCTTTTTCTTGATCTTCATAAAGCAGTCCCTTTAGCACATGTTGCAATGCTGGTTTGGTGAAGGTGTATTCTTCTAGCTTTCTTTGGGAAACTCCTTATTTTGCCTTCATTTTTAAATGAGAGCTTTTCTGAATAGGGTAGTCTTGGCTGCAGGCCTTTGTTTTTCATTACTTGGAATATTTCTTGCCATTCCCTTCTTGCTTGTTGTGTTTCTATTTAGAAGTCAGTTGCTAGCCTTATCAGAGCTCCCTTTTATGTTACTTCCTGGTTCTGCCTTGCTGTCTTTAAGATTCTCTCTTTGTCTTTGAATTTGTGTGACTTTTTCTTTTGTAAAATCAGGGCAGTTTTCTATCATTTTTTTCACACAGGTTTTCCATCTCTTGCTCCTCTTCTTCTCTTTCTGGTATACTTATTATGCAGATATTATTTAATTTCATGTTGTCTTACATTACCCTTAACCACTTTCTGTTCCTTTTGAGTCTGTTTTCCTTTTCTATATATTACTGGTAATTTTTGTCTTCCTTACCCTTCTTCAGCTCACTGACTTAATCCTGTTTCATCTAGCTTGCTTTTGATTCCTTCTGCTGTTCTTCATTCATAAATTGTATTCTTCATTTCCTCCTACTCTTTTTTATAGTTTCTATGTCACTTTCCATGCTGATGTAGTTCTCATTACGTTCCTTGTAGCTTCATTGTACTTTTTGGTAATTCTCACTGAGCTCATTGAGCTTCCTTATTATCATTGTTTTAAACTGAATATGTAAGACTTTACTTGCCTCTATTTTATTTAGCACAGCCCTTCCTTTTATATATAATTTTCATTAGAATAAATATCATTGCCACCAACAATGTTGAGACACAGAAGAATTATATTTTGTATGTTGTGTGTGGGAGGGATATTATATTGTGTTCCAGAAATTTATAAAAAGGATGTGTACAGTATTTTTATAACTACCCATTTCTTACATGTTATATTTTCTTTATAATTATTTAAGTGTTGAGGTGAATTAACTTTTTAAATGCTAAATCTTTGATCTGCATATCTCACTATAATTGATACTATTATAGAACATTTTATGGTAATATTCTATATATCACATTTAAAGTACTACAATATGGGTAAAGAAGTGATATATGTGAATATGTGTGTGTGTGTGTGTGTATCTATCTATCTATCTATCTATCTATCTATCTATATATATATATATATATATATATATATATATATAATGCTGCAATACTGGTGCTGTATTTTTAAAGAATTTATTGATACATTAGGAGATATAGAAAGACTAAAATAAAGGATGCAAACTCATATGCTTACAGTGCCAGTTTTTGTAAATATATGAAGATGAATGGATGAAGACTATATAGCACATACCACATCTAAAATGAAGCAGGCACAAATCAGTTCCAGTTGATAGTGGTTAGATAGTAATGTGGGCCTGATGCTGTCAGATCTTTTGTTTTATCAACATAAGTCATGATTTTTAAGTATAAAATCTATTTATTTAAAAACAAACAAACAAACAAAACATTGTACCAGATAAACACTATTTGTCTGCAGAATAGACTCAGTTGTCTGGAGTATGAAACCATCAGTAACTTTTGTTTTTCCATTAGTACTTTCTGGCACTCCACACTTACCTTTTAGGTCTCAGTTCCAAGATAGATATTGACAAATATATATTTTTAAAATACTTTATTTATTTATTTTTAGAGAAAGGAGAAGGGAGGGAGAAAGGGAGGGAAACATCAATGTGTGGTTGCCTGTTGTGTATCCCCAGCCAAGGAACCTGGTTTGCAACACAGGTATGTGTCCTTGACTGGGAATCGAACTGGTGACCCTTTGGTTCACAGGCTGGCACTCAATGCACTGAGCCACACCAGCCGGGGCAATAAATATATATTTTCAATGAACAATTTTGACTGTTGTGAAAACTCAAATTGTGATAAACAATAATTTCCAGGGATCTTACATTATTTGGCAGGATCATATCAGACATAACCTCAGCTTATTCATCAATGATGTGGTATCCATCTGTTGAGCTGAAGAAAACTTTTAGTCTTTCTTCAGAACCAATAGCCGAATCAACTGTCATTGGTTTATGATCAAGTGTTGGACATACTTGTAGATATAAAACCAAATATGGACAAAAGGCCAACAATGAAATTCTAAGGCAAAAATTCCCCTGCCCTTTGCTTAACAAGTTTATAAAACCCAGGTGATTGTCACAAATTACATAATGTATTTGGCAACCTATGTATTGCAACTTTTATTAGCTCTGGTACTACAATAAGAACATAATTATATTTAGGTCTTAAATATTGAGTTTCCCTTTGAAGGCCAAATATCTAATAATCATAAGAGCCTTATATGACTCTGCAGTCTGTTTGCTGTCTTTCAATTCCTTGCCTTGAGCTTCAGCAAGTTAAGGAGCTCATGTGGTCTCTTAAAATGGTTCTTTGGATCAGTTGCCTATATTTTTGCCAGTACTCATATATAGGCTTCATAGGACATGTAGTCTCCTTTGGAGTCTGCTGAGTGATCAATGCATAGTATGTATGGAATGAAAAAGTCCATACATGTTAACCTACCACAGACTGGATGCACTCTAGGTTCCTATAGCTTCTAGTTAAAGGAAACAAAGAGCCAAGCCTGTTCATTACCAAGTTCAGGTGACAGTGGAGGACTGGGCATCACAGGATTCACTATACTATAGTCATAAGGTGGGATTCAAGAACTGGAGTGAAGACTTGGACCAGGAACTGTGTATCAGGCTACACAGACTGATGGTATTTACCTTCTTTGCTTTTCAGCTCCATAACAAGAAGCTCTGGCCAATCAGCAGAAACTCAAAAACAAATCCACATCGAAATACTAACAGCTAACATAAGCTCCAGTTTAAGGAGATCAGATCAGGGATATGATTTTTGTTAGGGAAGGCCTGAATTGTTTCTATAGTATTCTATGTTATTGATAAAAGAATATATTTATTGTGCAAATAGACATTGAAGGCCAGTTTTAAAAATTAGCTTATCTTTATTGTGTATATGTGATGTTTTGGTCTACAAAAGATACCATGCAAAGAGATCCTGACCTAAGATACAAAAGTATTTCATACATATCTTGCTGAAGTCTGTCATGATATGTTTTTATCAGCATTATAAAAAATTTGTAAATGGACCATCTTGTTCAAAATTACCTAGAACATTTGCTAAGTATATAGATTCCTTGGACACACTCTACATGTAATAATTGTTGTGGAGTTGGGTCTGAGACCTAAACATTTAACAAATGCTCCAGATGATTCTAATGTACACCCTAGATTAAGAATCTGTATAATGCTGTTAGTTCATTAATAAGTTCTCATTACTAAGGAATACATATAAAATGATCTGATTTATGTAGAATTCTAGAGCATTAGAAAAAGACAATATAGGTAAAAAGAGTCTCAAGTTTTAATGTAGATAAAAACTCATCAGCAACTTAACTGTTTGGGTCACCAAATACTTACCTTAAGATGCTAATCCACAGAAGTTCAGTTAAACAATATGAAGATAGAAATAATACTGGTAATGCAAATGAGCCTAATCACCATTCCTTGAAATAGTTCTAGAGAGAAATGTACTTAGCATTTCAGCTTGGAAGTAATACAGACCCAACTACACACCCCCATCTATTGTAGCCCTGATAATTAAAGCCTTTCTGCTCCTTCATCCCTCTGCCATTGGATTCCATTCTATATCATTGCTCTACCTTTCTTTACCTTCTCTTTGCTCTACAGCCCCCACTAAGATTGAACAGGGACTTTCTCATCGTCAAGTCACTGAGGTGACACTCAAAGCCTATGTTAGGGCTCTAGAGAAAAAATCTTCATGTGGACTACAGGAATTGGAAGTGAGGAGCTAGTGGGGAGGACCTCTATAAAAGGGTCAGGGATTTCCCTCACACTTTCCCTTGTTGTAGTGCTTGTTAATTGTCTAAAAATCATTAGATGATAATGATTGACATTTTATATTCAAATTAACTGTAGAAAATGGTATACATTTCTGCTACTATAATTTAAAACATTTTTCTACATACAATTTTTCAAAAAAAATATTAAAAAGAAAAGTAGACCACTCACTTTAATAGCAATGCTTTCACCAAAGGTCTTTGGTGCCCATACATAAAGGTGAATTGATGATTTCAGAACAATCGTGATATATGTTGTTTCTGCATGTTGGAATACAATGATAAAATATAAAGAAGTAACAATGCCACAGAGTTTACAAGAACACTCAAGTATTTGTATTTATTATTATTATTATTATTATTATTTTAACAGTCTATTTATTTATTTTTAGACAGAGGGAAAGGGAGGGAGGAGACAGGGAGAGAAACATCAATCTGTGGTTGCCTTTTGCTCACCCCTTACTGGGGGCCTGGCCCACAACTCAGGCATGTGCCCTGATTTGGAATCAAACCAGTGACCCTTTGGTTCACAGGGTGGTGCTCAATCCACTGAGCCACACCAGCCAGGGCTTTATTTATTACTGAAAATGTCAAAACGATAATGTAAGAGCACAGATTATATGTTTTTAGAAAAGTTATTTTGATACTATTTGATGCTTCCCCAAAAGTCGACAAAATTATTGTGTAATTTAATGGAGTATAACAATTGTCCTTCAGAGCACTCTAAATTATACACTTCAAAGAACAGAATATTGGTCATGGATGGGTAGACTTAGCATTGTTAAAAGGGCAATGATATCCAAAGTGATCTACAGATTTAATGCAATCTCTCTTGAAATACCAATGACCTTTTATGCAGAAATGAGACACTAGTTCTAAAATTCAGAGAGAATTAGAAGAGGCCCCACATAACCAAAACAATGTTGTAAAAGAAAAACAAAGTTTGAGAACTCATCCTTCACAATTTCAAAACTTACTACAAACTACATTAATCAAAACAGTGTAGTACTGACATAAAAATAGGTGTATAGATTAATGGACTGTTACTGGGAATCTACAAATAAACCCAGACATCTAGGGTTAATAATGTCAAGACCATTCAATAGGAAAGGTATAGTCTTTTCAATAAATGGTACTGAGAAAACTGAATATTTACATACAAAATAATAAAGTTAGATCCCTTATCTTACACCATAGAAGGTGGGGAAAAAGTAGGTTAAGAGTTGTTTGTATGAAAAATAGTGCAATAACTAAGAAATAATAATAGAACAATAAATTCTGTGTCTCACAACTATAAACCTACTTTTGCCCCATCCTGTATATAAAAATGAACTAATAAATCAATCAAAGACCTAACTGTAAGAGGTAAAATCATAAAGCTCTTAGAAGTAAATATAAGAAAAAAATCTTCTTGACACCCATGACATAAGCAACAAAAGAAAAAAAAATAAGTAAGTTGAATTTCATCAAAATTGAAACTTTTGTGCATTAAAGGACACTATCAATAAAGTCAAGAAAAAGACAACCTATTCAATGGGAAGAAATCTTTGCAAGTCATATACCTGATAAAGGTCTAGTATACAGAATATAAAAAGATTGCTTACAACTCAACAACAAAAAGACAATCAACCCTAGGAAGATATAAAAATGACAAGAAAACTCTTAAAACACTACAAATGATGCTCAATAATATTGGTTATCAGGGAAACACAAATCAAAACTACAATGATGCAACATTACACACACATGAATAACAGAATCAAAAGACAGACTGCAAGTGTTTACAACGATGAAAAGAAAATGCAACCTTCATACTTAATGGCAATATAAAATGTTACAGCCATTTTGAAAAATTGTCTGGAAGTATTATCCAAGAGAAAAGGAAAACATGCATTCCTATGTATAAAAACAAGTACAAAAATGTTTATACCAGAATTATTTGAAATAGTCAAAAAGTGGAAAGTGCAAATGTATAAACAATGGCTATATAAAAAAATAGAAAAAAGATGGTTATATGTCTATAATGTGCAATACTGTTTAAAAATATAAAAGGAAGTACTGATAGATGTTGCATAGGCTACAGAATAGATTAACTTTGAAAATATAAGTAATGGAAGTCTTTCAACAAAAAGACCACGTAATATATTATTTCATTTAAATAAATTATCCAGAAGAGACAAATTTGTAGGAAAAGAAGGTAGATCGGTGGTTAATGTATACCTGATAAATAGAGATACCTACCAAGAAAGGTTCCTGATGGCTAACTGGGTTCAAATTGAAAAACAGAACCTAGCAGGTATTTCTAAACAAAGGCCTCTCACACAAACTGCACCTCACAGACAAGCCTACACTGAACTGCCTGCCTACCCTGTGTTCCTGACATCTGAACTAGTCCTTATAAAGGAGTCCCTGGAATTGTATTTCAACCAATAAGACTGAAGCTTTTCCTATCTACTTGGAGCCATGTAGCTATATCCCTATCAGCATTTCCACTAATCAAATAGAATGGCTCCATTTGAGCACTCAGTAGAGTGTCTTTTGGACCACTCAAACTGCTAGGATTTTGAGTCTTAATTTGCATGAGTATGGACAAATCAGGAACCAGGTGTGGGAACTTCTGTCTATGTAAGTTAGCTTCCCTTTCCCTTGAAGAGTACACTTTCCCTTCCCATTAAAGACTAAAGACTGCATTTACCCAGCTGGATCTAAAATACAAAAGACCAGACCATAACAATTGGATCAGACCACAGCAGAGCACAGCTGTTTAGCCTGAGAGGAACCTAGCCCAAGAGCTACATTGCCTCAGGGCTGCCTTGCCCCAGGGGTCTCCTTATAGCCATGTTGTTTCACAGCTGCGTTGCTTCATAATTGAACTGTATCATTATTGATCTGTACCAAAACTGTGCTAACCATGCTGTACCACAATTGAGCTGTTTGCATTGAATAAAGTTTCCTTCTTAACTGCATCCCAAGTTGGGGATTTCTGCTGGCATTGAATTGGTGCCAAAGGCCAGTAGTTGACATTATCCAGGACTGTGAGGAAAACAATGTAAATGCAAGAGGAATTGCATGTGGAATGATGATTAATGGCTAAGATTTTTTTTGGGGGGGGGTGATGAAAATGAGATCATCGTGATGGTTACATAACTCTATAAACATACTAAAAACAATGTAATATATACTTTTAAAAAAGATTTTAATACTTACCCAAAGGTATATTTGATTTTTTTAGAAAGAGGAAGGCAGTGAGGAAGGAAGGGAGACACACACACACACACACACACACACACACACAAAGAGAGATGAGAGAGAGAGAAAGAGAGAGAGAGGCATCAATATGAGAGAAAAACATTAATCAGTTTCCTCCTGCATGTGCCCCAAATGGAGACCAAACCTAAGTATGTGGTCTGACCAGGGATTGAACCTGCAACCTGTGGATGTATGGGATGATGGTCCAAACAACTGAGCCACCGAGCCAGGATGAACTGTAATCCTGTGAAATGAAGGCTGAGAGTAGAGATTTGTTTCAGAAACAGGACAGAATGGGATAACATTGCTTCCAAATTAATGACAGATGAGAGCAGGATTCTAAGCACCTGGAGTTGTTATTCCATTTCACAGTGGATGGTTGTGAGGAGGCAGGGAATATGAAAACACTCTAATCAGACAGGAAGTACTTGGCAATTATATTAATGAATTTCAACAGTGGGAGCAAGAGCCAGCAGACATAGGATAATTTTCATTTTGGCTCATTGTGAGGTTAACTGATCAGTATTAAGGGATATTTGCTAATTAAAAATAAAAGGAAGTATTATGGGATTTTATTTTATTGCTGTTTCAAGGAAAGTACATGTCATATAAATCCCCTTCCATGTTATTATATAGTTGAAGTTATATAGAGACAGGAAAATGATATCAGTTTATGTAAACTAATTAAAGTAACTGTGAAGGGAAGAAAGATGAGAAAGAAAACCAAATTTAATTTCAATAGTTATTTCAGGCATTCAATATTTTCTACTAACAGCAATAATTATGGCATAAAAGACCTGGAATGTGTCATGGTGAAATTCACTCAGTTTTTTATATGAAGTTGCAACATTTTTCCTTTCTCTGTATTTCATAACAATGTATTTTACCAAGTAAAGGGAAGCAAAGTTTGTATACCTATAGTAAATATGAAATGGAACTTACAATCACTGAAGTGTTCACAGCCTGCTAACTTATCAATGGCTTTTCAGGCTCCCTCTGTCTTTAGTTTTTCCTCTTTTCTTTTACTTTCTGGATCATCATTCAAAATCTTATTCCTCAGTCAGGTCAAATGATATATCTGAAATGTGTTTTTATGGCCTGATACATAGAAAAAAAAGATACAGTGTTTCAATTCATTTTTTTTTACATATTAGAAAAACAAAAAAATAAAGGCATTTTGCTTTTGTAACTAAATGGTTTCATTAAAGAAAAAAGCACTTTTAAAAAAACTGCACTGCAGCCCTGGCTGGCGTAGCTCAGTGGATTGAGCATGGGCTGTGGACCAAAGTGTTGCAGGTTAGATTCCCAGTCAGGGTACATGCCTGGGTTGCAGGCCATGACCCCTAGCAACCGCACATTGATGTTTCTCTCTCTCTCTTTCTCCCTCTCATCCCTCTCTAAAAATAAACAAATAAAATCTTTAAAAAGAGAGAACATTAAAAAAACTATACTGCAGCAGTCTTCCCTTCAGAGTTTGGAAATATAACAAAGTTTCTAATTTCCAAAAGATAGCCAAAGTGTCCATCAGCTACCTATGTTCCTATCTAAATTGAATGTAAAATATTTCTTTGGGACAGGTTAAGACTCTCACTGTGTAGGCAAAAGAATTAACATCCATTCATTTGTACCTCGGCTCTTGTCTAATTCATGACCCTTCTAGGATTCAGAAACCAGAAGCTGTCCCTGGTATTGTATATATATGAGAGGGATTTCTAATGTATTGACTGTAAGTCATTTAGGGACAGTGGGATGGATGTCTCTGTGCTCTTTCATTTCAGCATACTTATAAAATAGTTGAATGGTTTTATTATTTTTTCTCAGTCTAATTTACCTTCAATGTTAGTTTTCTGATTGCAAATCACATCAAATTTTTACACTTCCTTCAGGAAAATTCAGTCATTAAAATTACACATTTATTTTTATATATAGTGACTTTATTTTTATTTTAGGATTTACGAGTATAATATTTCTAGGCCCAATAACATGATTCTTACTTTTACAATAAACCTTAAATATATTTTTACATTATACTTTTAAAAGCAGCTAGAATTCAGACGTCTATGCTTATTGCTATTCCATTCTTAAATGGTAAAATAAATGTGTGCTAAATTCACTTAAGCATTTTTGTACACTGATGTTCTCAGTACTGTTTGATAAAAAAATCATCCACATGTGAGAGAAACACGAACATCAAAAATGGCACAATTGGGCTAGAAGATACTGCATAAAAAGTAAAGAATTCTGTTATCTAGCCACCCAGATATTTTCAAAACTAAACATTCCTTCTATGTACCTCAAGCAACTATAAATGGATGGCTGTAAAACATTATAAAAATTGTGAAGCTTTAGCATATCTATAGATTTACTTTTCTTACAAAAACTTAAGGTAAAGCCAGCCAATCATATTTAGGGATAGACATAATCATGAATTAATGTGCAATATGGTTATTACATATAGATGAGAGATATGTAAATATATATAAGTAGCTGTGATTAGCATCATAACATTCTACACCAAAACAATGTTAAATTTTTTTTCTAACCTTTTGTCTGCCATCTTTGGCCTATAGTCAGCTTTGATGCTAGTGCTTTCCTTAGTATTTAGTAATCACAATCATTACTAATATCCATTTACTTACTCTCTGATATTCAAAGTTTCAGGCTCAGACTAACTAAAGCTAAGAAATTCAACTACTACATGGGAAGATTGGAGAGGACTTAGGAGATCCATTCTTGTTACTAACCTTATCCATAGAGCCTTATGATAACACAGTCTCATTTTATCTATTTACTTAATTCTTTGTTGCTTTGAACACATCACTAGAAAGGTATACAGTGGATGTTAATGTGGTCATGTATGCATGGGTGGATAAAATTGTGAGTTGTGAAGTAATGGGTGGTTACTCAGAAAAGACCTGAACGATTGGTGAAAGACAAATATAATATGATCTCATCTATAAGAAGAATCTAATTAACAAATAAACTAATGAACAAAATAGAACCAGAGGCATGGAAACAGGGAACAGACTGACAGTGGCCAGAGGGGAGGGGAGAGGGTGAATAATGGTTCAAAGGAAGGGGAGGGACTTAACAAAAAACATGTATCAATAGCCCACAGACATGGACAACAGTGTGGGAATTGACTGAGAGAGCCAGGGGTGGAATGGGCAGAGGAGGGCAAGGTGGGTAAACTTGGGACAACTGTAATAGAATAGCAATAAAAATAATTTAATAAAAAAAGTGCAGATGACATGGTTTTTTCTTATCATTAACCTACATTAGATGTGTTACAATCAAATATCTAGATACCAAAGGAAAGTCAGAAATTAGTTTAAATTGTAAGTAGGTAAGAAAATACTAATTGTGAGTCTGGCGTTCCAATTAAGTGTGATATTTAAAGTGTTTTCTTATGACCACTTTCTCCTGAGAAAGTCTTTAGCCCAGTTTGCAACCTAATTAATCTCTATAATTACTCTGCTAATTTTAGTTATTAAACAAACCAGAGATGGTAATCAACAAATTGAGTGGCTCTACAACTTGAATCTGGTGGAATGGTCTTTGCTTTATAAGTTTTGTAATATCTGCCTTTCCCTTTCTGTCCATTAGATACAGATTAGATCGGGTTCCCAACAGCAAATTCACTCCTATTTGTATATATAAAAAAAGTTCTATATTAGCTCAGACTGCATTTTTAATATATTTTATTTATTTATTTTTGGAGAGAGGAGAAAGGAGGTAGAAAGAGTGGGAGAGAAACATTGATGTGCAAGAGATACATCAGTTGGTTGCCTCTCACATGGCCCCTACTGGGGACCTGGCCCGCAACCTAGCCATTTTCCCTGACTGGGAATCAAACAGGCAACCTTTTGGTTTCTTAGTGACACCCAACCCACTGAGCTACACCATTCAGGTCCAGATTACATTTTTATAGTAGACTTTATATTAGTATTTTTGTTATGCCAGTGTTCTCATTTATGTAAAGGTGATTTTAGGCTGTTAGACTCATTCTGTGTAACAAAAGCATCTCTAGCAAAAGAATAAATTGCATTGAAATACATAGAAATATAGAAGATAATACCTTCTGGCAACATTCTACTGGCTGGTATCTAGTGTGCCATCTTACATATGCAACTATATATATATACACACATATATATATAGTTATATATATACATATACAACTATATATATACATACATATATATAATAGCACCCTTTAGTTGCATATCAAACTTTATAAAAATTTTTATAAAAATTAATCAACCCTTTTGAAAGTTACCATTAAACACTGAGGACGTCTAGTACTTACAAATACTTCAATTTAGTTGATTTTCATTCCTAACTGTAACTAAGGGTTTTAATGTTTTTAAAATAGTTTCATGTAAAGTGATTTAAAGTTGAATGATTCTGTATTCATGCATATATTTAAAAAACTTACATTTCTAAATGCCTTTGAAATTAATTCCCACCTTTATGTATTTATTTTCCTATACTCTGTTATTTGTCTGTTGGCTGTAGCCACTCATATAGATTATCTGATTTAAAAGACCAGAATGACAGGAATAAAACAGAAGATTGAACTAAAGTCAGAATATATTTCAAACCACTGTAGGAGTTTTTCCCCATATCCTAAGACACAGGAGGACATCAGCAAAATAATGTAAGAGAGAGACAGTACTTCAATGTCTTCCTTCTACTTGGAGAATATTTGTGCTCCAAAGATATGAGTAAAGGCAAGGGCCTTTGCCTTAAAGTTTACACTCTGCCCTTTACCACTTCTCTAAGTAATGCCAAGGCCAGTGGCAGATTTAGAAACTGCATTTTCCTCCCACAAAGGAATCTGAGAGAGAGAAAGAAGTGCAGTCAATTTTGACTGTTATCTTTTATTTTTCAAAATATTTTTTCACAAATTATAAAAATGAGTCACTAGACATAAATGGGGTGGTTCCCTGACTGAAATGATAATGAAGTAAACTTGGCTTTCTTGTAATCTGACACATTACATTAGCAAAACTTCGAGGATGACATGTCTTTCCCTAAATTGTTCAATCCATATAAATATAGTGTCTAGTATACTGCTTATACTGTCCTTTGTTCAATCAAATATTCTGTAAAATCTATGAAATTGCAAATTGGAGATTGACATTTACTTTGGATTTCTCCCCCTTTGTCCTCATTTATTCTGTTTCATTTATGATACAGACTGGCTTGATATAAAATATTGTCTCAGCACTACCAGTATGGTTATAATTCATTCTCCTGGAACAAAGGACTGAAAAAAGTCTATCAAAGGCACAGAAGGAAATTTTTCAACAAATCCTCAAGGTTATTTTAAAACAAGAACCCGCAGAAATCTTTCTTATAATATCTTTAGATATGATATGCTCCACAGCTCCTTAAGTTAAAAAAAAACTAAGCTCAAATTAAAAAGAAAAAACTCATAACCTAGTTCAACTTTAGATTTTAGGCCAGTTAATTCAGGTTCGAAAGAAAATAGAATAAAGAGTGGAGGGGCACCAATTCAAATATGAAAGTACATTCAGTAAAAACATATTAGAGAAAAGCAAATTAACTACTATAAACATATTTTATGTGCTTGTTAATAATTTGGTAATAGCAAACAAAGATTTTATACCTATGACTTTTTATAGCTTTGTTGTATAAATAAAATATAATAGCCAAAGGAAGAACAGCTCAGTTTCAAGAAACCAAACTCACCCCACAAAGAATCACAGAACATCTCAGAAGTGAATTCCTTTTCATACATGTGGATTAGTGTCTTTTTTTACATGCAGGAGAGACATATAGTGGCTTAACATGGACTTCAGATGGTTTCTTAGGTGATTTCTCAGATACTTCCACTAACCCAGCATATACTGTGAAATAAAAGGAAGATATTGAGAGAAATTACGTGTGTATACACCATACGTGCTTGAGTGTTTCCACAAATGAGACCTAGGAAAGTTTCTTCATCTTTATTGAATTTTATAACTTAATGGAGGTATCATTGCTGTGACCCCTAAACAAGGAGATAACACAAATCATGACAGTTAAAATATATCTCTGAGTGAGATGGAAGATGGTGGAGGAGTAAATGGAAGCCACACTAACTTCCTCCCAGGACCAATCTGGAATTATAACTAAATTGCAGAGAAATCAACCAGAACAAATAACTGAACAATAGTGAGAGAGAAGCCTTATAACCTTGGAAGACAGCAGAATCAGCTTTAGCACTAACTGTCTGGTAAGCAGTGCACTGGAGACTCAAGAGGGCTGGCTGGATGTCCACAGGAAGCAGCACCAGAAGGATAATTAAGGGGCCAATTGGATTCGCCTGACAAGTGTGGGGTCTAAACCCTTAGCTTTGATCCCCAGCCTAGAGCACCAGCACCCAAAAAGTACACAGACACCAACCAGTAGTGAAAAGCAACAGGATTGCTCTCTGCCAGAGATGGATGGCTGGAGATGCAAGAGCCTTTTAAAAGGCCAATGCACAAATTTTCATTTGCAGCCACTTACCCAGGACTCTGACAAAGGTAGGCACAGAGTGGGCTGTAGATGCCTGAGGAGAGACTGGGGATGGAAGCTTTTGGGAGAGAACTGAGGCAGTAGCTGCTGAAATCCTGTTACTGAGTCATCCTCCATACTTCAGCAGGCATCCTGTTCAGGCATACCATTCACCTACTAGTGGCAGCTGCCTGAGGGAAAAAAATAGTCCCCACCCCAGGAAAGACCCTTTCCTGGTTCTGTGGTGCTAAGGCTGACTGCTGAGTGAAGAGTGACTAGATTAGCAACTGAAGGAGACAGCCAGAGACAGTAGATCCTTGGCAAAGCAGGGCAGAGTGGACTTCAGACACTTGAGGAGAGACTGGGGACTGAGGCTTTGGGTGAGAACTGAGAGAGTAGCCCCTAGGTCTTGGTGCTGAGTCATCACCCATATGGTAGCAGTCTTCCTGCTCAGGCAGACCACTCCCTTCTGAGCAGCAGCAACTTGAGGAAAAACAACAGCCCCAACACCAGGAGGGATCTGCCCTGCCCTATGGGGCTTAAGCCTCATTGCATGGGTGACTAGATTAACAACTGAACGAGACAACCAAAGGCAATAGATCCCTGGCAGTCTCAGAGTAGGCTGCTTAAGGTCAGATGGGGTCAACATCTGACATCACCAGATGTGGATCCAGAAAAAGAAAACAGTGGTAAATACGAGAGGCTACTGAGATGAAATTCACTACAGTCTGCTACATAAGTGATATTTTCTTTCTTGCATAGCTTTTTAACATTCATTTCTTGTCCATCAAGTTTGTGCATATTAAGACACTAGATTTTATACTACAGTTTATTTCTCTCTTTTCTTATAATAGTCTTAATCTCTTTACACCTTTAACAATTGAGGTACATTTACTGTTGTTAATGGGATTGCAAGGGGAGTATGGTTGTGGATGTGGATTTGTTCCCTGGGCTTTGTGGTTTTCTTCTGGTGGAACCTGAAAGACAGCATAAAGAGGTGGTAGGCAGAGTAACTCACAGTCAACCAGCTAAAGGAAGGACCCACAAAAGAATGACCTAATAACAATCAAACAACAATTACATCTAGAGAGCCAACATAATAGGCATAAAGGCAATCACAAGAGCATCAAGTTCATGAGGTCAAGGAGACTGCACCACTGAATCTCACAGATTTCCTACTATAGAAGTTCATACCACAAAATCAGGGGGTTAAAACAGATCAATTCAAGGAGCAGAGGCAAATAAGAAGAGTCTCACAAATAATGGGAAGACAAAGAAACAACCCCCAAACAAAAGGAAAAGAGTAATCCTCAGAAAGAATGCTAAATGAAAAAGAGGCAAGTCAACTACCTGATATTGAGTTGACAGCCATGGTTATAAGAAAGCTCAATGACCTCAGTGAGAATTACCAAAAACTACAGTGAAGCTATAAGGAACTTACTGCAAATTATACCAGCATTAAAAAGGATATAGAAACTATCAACAAGAGCCATAAGGAAATGAAGAATACAATTTCTGAATTGAAGAACACAGTAGAAGGAATCAAATGCAGGCTAGATGAAGCAGAGGATCATATCAGCAAGCTTAAGGACAAGGTAGAAAAAAACTCTCAGAAAGAGCAGGAAAAGGAAAAATGACTCAAAATGAATGATCAGGGGTTAAGGTAAATGCAGGAAACATGAAACTTAATAATATCCATATACTACTATACCAGAGGAGAGTAGAGGAGCAAGGGATAGAAAACCTGTTTGGTCTAGCTAGGAAGATGGCAGTGAGGTAGGTGGGAGTGGAGCCCAGTTCTCCCTGCACCCTGCTGAAACACCTAGATGATCTGAGGAACACAGTGAACAGCCAACAGAATACCAGCTTATATTAAGTTTGGAGGCAAAAAATTGCAGAGGACATTGAAAAACAGACAGTGAGGGGATTGTGCTGGGACCAAGGTGGCTGTGGCCCCTACTCTGGTGCCTGCCGCAGGATACAGGGAGGTGAGTTAGATCACCAGCTACTTCCTCTACTAGAGGAGGTAGGGCAGCATGGCATGGCACAAGGAGGGACCTGAATGCTGGAAGTCGCTGAGTGGGGCGGGGGGGATAGAGACAAAGTGGGAGATACACAGAGGCAGAACAAATCCACTGTGACTATGAATGCCAGCACCAGAGAAATTGGGGTGCCAGGAAACACTGGGAGAAGGGAAGAGTTGGGCCATGTTGGACCCTGACTCAGGTAGTCTCTGGAGTGGCTGAAAACTTGGGCTGTGTGAAAAGCCATACACTTGTTATGAACTGCAGGCAGCTGTTTTGTAAGGAACTCTCAGCAGTGGCTGGTGCACCCTGAAGGAGATTCAGCTGCGTGCACCCAGAGACTTTGTAGCTGAGCAGAAACGCACACGCCCTGCTTGTCCTGGGCTCCGCACCTGAGATTGATACATGATGGACACCAGGGGAGACTCAGTGGCTACTTTAAGCCTGGCAGCTCATGCATGACTTGGGCTGGTGGAGGCCAGGAAATTGCAAACCATATCTGGTCCCCAAACTCTCAAAACCACAGGAAGGGAGAAAAGCAAAGCCCAGCTCCCCATTTTCTATGGCATCTAAGAAGACGAGCAGAACTCGCTGAACAAGTTTAAAGTCAGCAGGGGGTTTATTATTATTATTTTCTTTTTGGATACTCTCTCTTTTTGTTTTTGTTTCCTTTTTTTTTTCTTCCACAAAGTGAGACAATAAGACATGGAATTATGAAGGGTCCAGAGACAGATCAAAAGGGGAAACACAAGGCTAACCCCCCAAAAACTGAGAAACTGAGACAAATATCACTTTGCTATCCCATAGAGCTGGTATTTTCTTGTTTGTGTGTATTATTATTATCTTTTCATTATTTTTCCCACTTTTATTTTACTAGTATTTTTATTTCTCTTCCTTATGTTTAATTTTCCTCATTTTAATTCTCTGTTTAATTGCATTGTTTGACTTGTTTCCCTTATTCTCTCTTTATTGTATTTTAATTTTCCCTCTTCCACTTCACTCATGTTCCAATAACACACAACTCTTGATTGGGTACTTTCATTTTTGGTTATGCAAGTCATATATTTCACATCACATTATTGTTGTTTCAGTTCTATTATAAATAATTTTTGCACCATACAACTGTACATACTACACAGCAACCCTTTCTGATCCAAGCCCACTTCACTTCAATCCTGACCATTATTATTATTGTGGTTAACTCTACTCTTTCTCACACTATGTCTGCTTTTTATCCTTTACTCTCCCTATATCTCATCATCTAAACTTGCACAAGTGCTGTGTTTCCTGGATTCAGCTCACAATCATCCTCCCCTCTAACAAGAGTCTTATCTCTTGTTCACCTTTTATAAAAAGTGGCTAGTTGGGGGAAATATCAGAGTTAATATTATACTTATCCAAAGAATCCCCTATCTCTTCTCTACTTGCTGGTATTTTAAATCCCATAAAATACTTTCCCACTGTTTTAATCCATATTGCCTACCTCCTGTCACTGATCACATACAAGAATAGGTGGGAGCTGCAAACATCAGTATACCTGCTGGAGGAGAAAAACCACCAGCAAAGGAACCACCAAAGGTAGAAACCAAGTACACCAACAGAACCCACACAAACACAAGAAAGGGCAAACCAAGAGCATCCAGATGAGGAGATCAAAGAGGCCACATCACTGAACCTCATAAAATTCCTAACATAAAAGTTCACCCAACAAAGACAGCAATCAAAGCAAAACACCAGGAAGCACAGGAACAAACAAAAAAAGTCACCTAAAATGGGGAGGCAGCAAAAGAACATGCAATTAAAAGGAATGGAAGACTCCCTACTAAAAGCACTAAAGGGGATGAAGGTAAGCAAACTATAAGATATAGAATTCAAAATAATGGCTGTAAGGATGCTAAAGGAATTCAAAGACAACTACAAGGAACTAAGTGAGAACTACATCAGCAAGAAAAAGGAAATAAAACCTATAAACAAAAACCAGAAAGAAAGGAACAATAAAATCCCAGAAAACACACACACACACATACACACATTAGAAGGAATTAGAAGCAGGCTGGATGAAGCGGGGGATCAAACACTGAGAAGGAGCAAAAAAAGGAAAAGAGGCTCAGAAAGAATGAAAAGGTATTAAGGGAAATGCAGGACAAGATGAAACATAATAATATCAGCATAATAGGAATACCAGAAGGAGAAGAAAAAGACCAAGGGATAGAAAGCCTGTTTGAAAAAGTAATGATGGAAAACTTCCCTAATTTGATGAGAAAAAAAAGTCACAAATTCAGGAAACACTGAGAGTCCCAATCAAGAGGGACCCAAAAGCCTCACTTCAAGACAAACCATAGTTAAAATGGCAAAATCCCAAGACATAGATAGAATGTTAAAGGCAACAAAAGAGAAATAGGAAGTAACATACAAGGGAGCCCAATAAGGCTAGCAGCTGACTTCTCAATGGAAGCATTGCAAACCAAAAGAGAATGGCAAGAAATATTTAAAGTAATGAGAACCAAGGGCCTGCCACCAAAGCTACTTTACCCAGAAAGGCTCTCAATCAAGATAGAAGGTCAAATACAGAGCTTTCCAGACAAAAGAAGTTTAAAAGAATGAACACCCACCAAACCAGCTATACAAGAGATGCTAAAGGGACTGTTTTAAGAAAGGGAAGGGAAAAATTGAGAGAAAGAGGAACACAGGTATGAAAAATGGTGATGAATGAGTACCTATCAATAATAACCTAAAATGTAAACAGATGAAATGCTCCAATCAAAGACATAAAACAGCTGAATGGATAAGAAAGCATGAAGCACACATATGGTGCTTACAAGAGATCCACCTCAGGACAAAAGACCTACATAGCCAGAAAGTGAAGGGCTAGAAACAAAATTTCCAAACAAATGGTCAGGAAAAAAAAGCTGGGGTAGCAATACTCATATCAGACAAAATAGATCTCAAAAAAAAAATGACCATAAAAAGAGACCCAGAAGGTCACTTCATAATACTCAAGGGAATAATCCATCAAGAATATAAAAACATTGTAAATATATGTGCACTCAACATAGGAGCATCCAAATACATAAAGGAAATCTTGGAGGACTTCAAGAAAAATATTGACAGCAACACAATTGTAGTAGGGGATTTCAAAACCCCACTGTCAAAAATGGATAGATCTTCCAAAAAAAATCAACAAAGATATTGCAGCACTGAACATTGTCCTAGATGAAATGAACTTAACTGATATATATAGTGTTTTTCATCCCAAAGAAGCAAAACACACATTCTTTTCTAATGCACATGGAACATTTTCAAAGATAGACCACATCATAGGACATAAAAAAAGCCTCAACAAGTTCAAGAAAATTGAAATCATATCAAGCAGTTTCTCTGACCACAAGGGACTGAAATTAGAAACCAACCTCAAGGAAAAAAACTCAAAAACAGTCAAAATCATGGAGATTGAATAGCATGCTATTAAACAATGAATAGGACAAGAATGAAATTAGGGATGAAATCAAAAGGTTTCTGGAAACAAATGAAAATGAACTCACAACAACCCAAAACTTATGGGACACAGCAAAGGCAGTCCTGAGAGGGAAGTTCATAGTGATGCAGGCCTACCTAAAAAAACAAACAAACAAAAAAAATTGTGAAACAAGCAACCAAACCCGACACCTATAAGAACTCAAAGAAAACAACAAAGACAGCCCAGATGAAGTAGAAAGAAGGAAATAACAAATATCAGAGCAGAATTAAATAACATATAGACTAAAAGCACAATTCCAAAGATCAATAGATCTAGGAGCTGTTTCTGTGAAAAGATAAACAAAATCAACAAGCTTTTAAGGAGAACCATCAAGAAAAAAAAAGAGAGGACCCAAATAAACACAAACAAAAATGAAATAGGACAGATTACAACTCCTCTGCTCCACAGAAATACAAAAATCCTAAGAAATTACTACAAAGTATTATATGCCAAGAAATTTTAAAACCTGGGTAAAATGGACAAATTTCTAGAAAAATACAATCTTCCAAAACTCGATGAAGAATTAGCAGAATGCCTGAACAGACCCATAATTGAAGCAATAATCAAAAAAAAAAAATACACACACACCATAGCCCTGGAGCAGACAGTTTCACAAGAGAATTCTACAAAGCATTAAAGGAAGAGCTAACCCCTATCCCTCACAGATTATTCTGAAAAATCCAAGGCAGAAGACTCCCAAACTCTTTTTATGAATCCAGCATCACCCTAATACCAAAAGCAGATAAAGACACAACAAAGAAAGAAAATATAAAGACAATATTGCTCATGAACATAGGTGTCAAAATCCTCAACAAAATATTGGCACACCACATCGAGCAATAGATTAAAAAGATCATACACCATGATTCCCTGGGACTCATCCCATCGATGCAAGGACAGTACAATATTCACAAATCAATAAATGTAATACATCACATAAACAAAACCAAAAACAAAACTCGCATGACCATATCAATAAATGTGGCAAAAGAATTTGATAAGGTACAGACCCATTTATAATAAAAACACTAAGCAAAGAGGGAGTAGAATGAGCGTAACTCAACACAATAAGCCATATATGAAAAACCTATAGCCAACATCACACCCAATGGGCAAAAACTAAAATCTTTCCCATTAATATGAGGAGCAAGATAAGGATGTGTGCTGTCACCACTGCTATTCAACATAGTATTGGGAGTCCTAGCCACAGCAATCAGACAAGAAAAAGAAATAAAAGGCATCCAAAGTGGAAAAGAGGAAACAAAACAGTTATTGTTTGTAGATGACATGATAAGTGTACATAGAAAATCCAATAGACTCCACCAAAAAACTTCTCAACCTAATAAAATAATTTGGCAACACAGCAGGATACAAAATCAATACTCTGAAATTGAAAGCAATTTTGTAAACTGATAATGAAATGTCAGAAACAGAAATCAGGGCAAAAAAATCCATTTGATATAGCAACATGAAAAATAAAGTACCTAAGAATAAACCTAACCAAGGAGGTAAAAGACCTGTACTCAGAAAACTACACAACACTGAAGAAAGAAATTAAGGAAGACACCAACAAATGGAAGCATATATCCTGTTCCTGGATTGGAAGAATTAACATCATCAAAATGTCCATACTACTGAAAGTAATTTATAGATTCCATGCAATACCTATTAAAGTACCAAGGGCATATTTCAAAGACATATAACAAACACTTCAAAAGTGTATATAGACCATAAATGACCCCAAACAGCTGCAGCAATTTTGAGAAAGAAGAATAAGGCAGGCAGGATCACAAAACATGATTTTAAAATGTATTATAAGTCCACTGTAATCTTAAAGCCTGGTACTGGCATAAGAATAGACACATAGAGCAATGGAACAGAATAACGAGCCCAGAAATAAACGCAAGTCTCTATGGTCAATTAATATTTGGCAAAGGTGGAGCAGCCTAAAATAGAGTAAAAATAGCCTCTTCAACAAATGGTGTTGGGAAATCTGGACAGTTAGAGGGAAAAAATGAAATGAGACTACTAACTTATGCCATACACAAAAGTAAACTAAAGATGGATAAAAGACTTTAATATAAACCCTGATACCATAAAAGTACTAGAAGAGAGCATAGGCAGGCAAATCTCATACATTCCACACAGCAATATTTTCACTGATATGTCCCCTAGAGCAAGGGACATAAAGAAAAGAAAAAAAAAACAAATGAGACTTCATCAAAATAAAAAGCTTCTGTATGACAAAGAAAACATCAGCAAAATGTAAAGGGAACCATCCATATAGGAAAATGTATTTGGAAATGTTACCTCATTCAAGAGTTTGATATATATATATAATCAAATATATATATATCACACAACTCCACTCCAGAAAGACAAACAACCAAATTAAGAAAAGGACAAAGGAACTAAATAGATACTTCTCCAAAGAGGACATACAGAAGGCCCAGAGACGTTTTAAAGAATGTTCAGCATCATTAGCCATCAGAGATGCAAATTAAAATGACAATGAAATAGCACTTCATACCACTCAGAATTGGCATCATAACCAAATCAACAAATAACAAGTGCTGGTGAGGTTGTGGAGAAAAGGAAACACTTGTACACTGTTGGTGGGAATACAGACAAGGGTATCCACTGTAGAAAACAGTATGGAATTTCCTCCAAACACTAAAAATGGAACTGCCTTTTGACCCAGCAATTCCAATTCTAGGATTATATCCTAAGAACACTGAAATGTCAATTCAGAAGAACCTATGCACCCCAATGTTCAAGCAGCACAATTTACAATAGTCCAGAGTGGAAGCAACCTAAGTGCCCATCAGGAAATGAGTGGATCAAAAACTATGGTACATTTACACAGTGGAATACTATACAGCAGAAAGAAAGAAGGAGCTCCTACCTGTTGCTACAGCATGGATGGTACTGGAAAAAATTATGCTAAGTGAAATAAGACACGTGGTGAAAGACCAATATATGATCTCACCTGTAAGTGGAACATAAGCAACAAAACAAAGAAGCAAGCAAAATATAACCAGTGACATTAAATAAAAAAGAAACTGATAGTAACCAGGGGGCAGGTGGGAGTGGATAACTGGGGTAATTGAGGGAATGGTCATCAAGGAACATATGTAAAGGACACATGGACAAAGTCAAAGGAGGTTAGGATTGAGAATGAGATGTGGGGATGCCTGGGGTGGGGGAGAGTGGTGGTGGGAAATGGAGACAAGTGTACTTGAATCACAATAAATAAAAAAATATATTTCTGCATATATATGTATTTCAAGTTATCATGATGAGATTTGAGAAAAATCCACATAAGGGACTCAATTTCTCAATTTTAGTTGAAATTTATGTGCCATGAAGACTCAGTGAATAGTAGACATTTAAAGTTTTCACCCATCTGCATTTGTATCAAGTGAATATCAGACTGATTTGATTATTTTCAGATCATGAATCAGTGGTCAAAGACTTTATTTAATATGTGAACAGACTGAAGCATTTGGAAAGTATATTAAACACACTTACAGATGGCACTAGCAAACTCAGCATTTGCAGCCCTCCCAGAAAGATTGGAAAATGATGACTGGATGGCAGAAAAACATGATTCTGTTGATGCTCCCAATATGTCCATATTGTCATTTTCATCATCAGGTACTGTGGGTGCAGTATCTGAGGAAATGGCGCTTGAGGCCTCACTACTACCAACTGACTCCTAAAAGATGAAAAAGTAATTTTGACTTTATTAAGGAGCTCAACAGAGTGAGACATTAATATGCATCAGTCATTTGAAAGATATAATGCAATATTCATTAACATCTATAATTATACCCCTTATAAAGTCCACATTTACCAGATAAACACAATGCTGTGAAAAGAGAGACATAATCTATGTTGAGATAATTGATGTCAGAGGAGAAATTCAAGGAGCTTGAAGTCCCTAGCTATAAAAGTTGGAGACCTTACATTTGTGGAATTTTTACTATGTACCAAGTACTCTGACAGATATCTTATTTACATATCATTGTGGGTCCTTACAACAACCCAAAAAGAAAGTCTCCAACCCAAAAAATTATCTCCATTTTACTTATAAAGGAACTAAAGCTTAGCAAAGAGTTAAAGAATGTATTCAAGGTCATAGAGATAAGTAAGGAGACCAGGGTTTGAAGTCAAAGTTCATTTGATTCCAAAGCTTACACATTCAGCTATGCTATGCCCAAAAACAACTTGAAAAAAATTAAAAGCACTGTGTAGGGATATCAGTTACACTTTGTGAAATTGCAAAGCTAATGGTGGAAAATCAACCAACACAAACTCAGAAGTGTGATCATGCATCACTGAAAATGTAGCTGGATTCCATTAACTTACAGAGAAGAAACTCCGGGATAAAAGACACAAGATGTGACAGATTTTATGTGGGATGCTATATCTTGTGGAAAAACCTACCAACTCTTTTTGGTAAGACTGTCTGTTGATCAGCATTTCTTGATGCCCAAACAGGGATTCTTGGCCTTCAGAGAGTTATGCTATCTTTTCAAAGACTAATTTTTATGACCTTTCCAACCACAAAAGTGTTTTAGGGCAACATGTCCTTTTTTAATTAAAATGAAAGTAAGACCCATTCACTCCATAAATTGAAAAAAAAAATTCTTTGAGATAACTGGAGATACCCAGAGCTACTACAAAAACCATGTTGGGGCATCCTGTTTAAATGTCTTTGATTAAGACAGGTAGGTAGGTAGACAGACAAGGAGACAAATATAGCTACATTCACACTGATAATGCTTTCCCATTGGAATCCATCAACAGAATTTTCTTCCTGCCTTTTATCTTTGTTTTCCTCCTTCATTGTTTCTTCCATAATTATTGTATGTCTATCATAGACCAAGCCCTAGGATGGGCTATGGGATTGGGTGAGTGAGTGAAGAAAAGCAATCAAGCATGGATTAAACATAGTTCCTGCACTTTCAAAGTTCACAGTCTAGTGTGACTGAAGAGCAAGTAAACAAATAACCAAACTACAATGTCATAAGCACTAAAATAAAACAATGGGCAAAACTCTTGCAAGCACAAAGGAAGGGGTGTGTAATTCTGTCTTGGGAAGTCAAAGATGTTATGTGAGTTGGATAATGAAGGATGACTAGAAAAGAGATAAGGGGTAACCTGAGAGGCAAAGTTAACTCCTTGCACTAGAGGACTAATTCATGAACGACCATTGTATCTTCTAAGCCAATTTGTGTGATAGGACAGTATGCTAGGAAATTAAATTGGCATGATAATTCCTCTCTCTGGAATCTCACCTGTGTTTGTAGATATCCAAGTATTTTCCATTTATTAAGAATTAGTTCAGCCCTGGTTGGTGCGGTTCAGTGGACTGAATGATGGTCTGAGAACCAAAGGGTCACTGGTTCAATTCCCAGTCAGGGCACATGACTGGGTTGCGGGCAAGGTCCCCAGTAGGGGGTGCATGAGAGGCAACCACACACTGATATTTCTCTTCCTCTCTTTCTCTATCCCTTACCCTCTCTCTAAAAATAGATAAATAAAATCTTTTTAAAAGAATTAGTTAAAATATTACGTGTTGTAGAAAATCTCTGTGATAATTCCCATTTGTGTAGCATCTGTAAAGCTATCTGAATATTTTAAAACTTATTTATAAAGTCAGTAAACATTCTGTAAATGGCAAACCATTATGTAAACACAGTTTGTTACTTAGGTTATAATTGTAATTGCTAACATTTCCTCACAAAAAAATAAAATAGAATGTAGCAATTACACTCTAATTGTTATGCATCTAGCAATTCTATTCTAGGTATACAATCCAAAGAATTGAAAACAGGGACTACAACAACAGATAGATATATACTAATTTTTACAATGGTGTTATTCCTGATTTCAAAAAGCCTAAAACAAGTGTCCATGTACAAATGAATGAATAAACAAAATGTGAAGTGTTCATACTGTGAGATATTATTTAGCTTTAAAATGTAAAGAAATTCTGAATCAAGCTAAAACATGAATGAACCTTGAAAATATTATGCTAAGTGAAATAAGCCAGACAGAAAAAGAAAAAATATTATATGATTCCACTTGTATAAGGTACCTAGACAAAAACTAAAGGTTACATGAGATTAAGGGGAAGGACAATAGAGACTTGTCTACTTTTTTAGGATGATAAAAGAGTTTTAAAAATTATTAGTAGTAATGGTTGTGCAACATTGTGAATGTACTTAATTCCACTCAATCCTATAGTTAAAATGGTTAAAATGGAAAAAATTGTTATATATTTTTTACCAAAACAAGAACCTCCTAGAAAAACATTTATGTTAAAAGGCATTATTCTATACATGTAATATGAGTAACAAAGGCAAACAAAGACAATATTTTTGTCCCCAGAAGTAAATAGGAAACATCTAAATTAGAAGAATCAAAGATCCACCTACAGTAGCTATAATGAAAAATGCTTAAGGCTTTGGCATAGAGGTTTAAAATATATGTGGAATGGCTGAAAATATGACATATCACTTGAAGAAACACATTCACAAGGAGAAGAATTCATTTTCCTCGTCAAATGGTATATTACCTCCCATTGATGTTCAAAGTCTTACAATGCTATTCTCTCCAATCCTGGACAATCTTTCTTTGAGCAATTTTCTCCTTTATTGAGTTCAAGAGCTTCACTCTCTTCATTGGTTTCATTGACCCCTTTACCTCTATTGCCCTCCATGCCCTTCCCCTGCTTCCTATACTGGCTATATCTCCTTTATGATCTCAAAAAGCTGCATTGTTCTCACTTGCTGCAAATTCTACATGGTTTCTACTAGTTCTCTGGCTTCCATAGGTGCTGCAAGTTTCTTCTCCTGCATCACCTCCATCTCTACCACTGTTCTTCCAGTTTCCACTCTGACCATAGCTTGACCTGATGAAAAAATCCAATTAATGATTGGGTGAAAAATGACCTAACACATCTGAAATCAAACTAAACATAATTAGCTTATATCTTATACATATGTGCTATCTCTAGGCACATTTTTCCTCTATGTGAATATTACTGGTATTATAAAGGAAAATTCCTCTATGTCATTTAAATCTTAAATACTAAATTAACACCACACCCACCATCCATGGCTGCATTTAGATGGCAGATGGAAGAGAACCTTAATTCTTTATTAGAGACATGTATTAGGTTGGTCACATACATGAATATGTATTTTTTAAATTTTATTTATTGATTTATAAATTTTTAGAGAGAGGAAGGGGGAAAAAGAGAGAAAATGCTGATTGATTGTTCCACTTATTTATGCATTCATTGGTTGATTCTTGGATGTGCTGTGATTGGGGATCAAATATGCAACCTTGGCACATCAGGGCAATGCTCTAACTAACTGACCTACCTGGCCAGGGCTAGAAGAATTTGTATTTTTTTCTTGAATAATAGACTATTTCATGCATTAGCAACTTCAAGCCCATATTCTTGGCTCAACCACAACATATTTAAATGATTTTTCTGGCAATATATCCAATTTATGCTAATGTTAATATATGCCTTGATAATGTCAATATATGCTAATATGTGTACTGACTGCTTTGATACAGAATCCCATTGATCATTCTACTACCACCAGGAAGTTAAGTACTATAGATCTCATTTCTTAAGATAGTGGTTTAATTAGTTACTAAGAATATCAAGCTTAACAAAATATTTCATTTAGTGATCTTTTGCATTTGACATCAGAAACATGTAGCTACTACAATTCTAAAAGCAAATTTATTTGGCAGTGGAATTCCTGGTAGAATTTTTGAGTTGGCAAAAAAGAAAAAAAATGTCTGTTCTGTCATATACAGAGTCCAGCAGAAATAATGCCTGCCTGAATGTGGTTTGTAGGGTAATAATATGGGTGTACTAATTTTTAGCTTTAATTTGAATATTTCACCGAAATGCTGTATGATGTACTTGAGTGTGACATTGTTGTTACAGAATCATGTTTATGATTTTGTAATAAAAGATTTTGTAATAAAATGGAAGTGTTATTTGTGCCAGACCCTGTATATCCCCCAATAACATTTAAATTGTAACAAAACAATTTATGATTTCAATATTTTAAAAAACAATTCTCTCATTGTTAATTATTTTTGCAAAAGTGTAAAAATATGTTATAGTAACTAATCTCTGAGAGCAGTTTGAATACAAATTATGAGCATATGTAAATTAGGACACACTAGCTGTTTAGATCAGGAACAAGGAACTATATATACACAGTAAACAACTGGTGGCATGCCTAAAATATTATTTCACTAAATATTATTACTTTGGGCGGCTATTTTATAAAAATATAAAATTGAATATGCACTGAATTTAGTTACAGCAGTCATCAAAATTCAAAAAACAATGCCATGTAAGTTGCAGCCTAAAAATATCAAGTGAAAGCCAAGTTTTAAATAATTATAAAAAGTTATATATTTTGCTTGCAAATACTAGAGCTTCATCTTATAGCTATTAAATAGTATAATACTAAATTTGTCACCCCATTTTTCAGGTTTATAGGGTAGCATGATTCAATAGCATACTGTTCAGAGAAACATGCAAAAAATTCCAGTTCTAAAGAACCTAATCAAAAAAAGAAAAATGCAAACAAAATATAACCAGACACATTGAAATTAAGAATAATCTAACAATAACCAGAGGGGAGGGGACAATGGGGTGAAAGGTTTTCAGGAACTACTATAAAGGATACAGGGACAAAACCAAGGGGGAGGATGGAAGCAAGGGAAGGAGATGGGTTTGGCCCAGGTGGGAGGGAGGGGTGGAGGGAAAATGCAGACAACTGTAATTGAACAACAATAAAGTAATTTATAAAAGAACATAAGTATTTGAATACTAAGAAACATATAACAAAAAATACAAAATTAAGATTTTTCATTAATGTAATTAAAAATATGTCATTCAAAATCAGCCCTGGCTGGCATAGCTCAGTGGATTGAGCGTGGGCTGGGAACCAAAGCATCACAGGTTCAATTCCCAGTCAGGGCACATGCCTGGGTTGCAGGCCACAGCCCCCAGCAACCACACATTGATGTTTCTCTCTCTCTCTTTCTCCCTCCCTTCCCTTTCTAAAAATAAATAAATAAAATCTTAAAAAAAGAAAATCAACCATTTACCAATACGCAAGTACAATTCCTTCCTCCTCTTAGTAATAAATTTTGAAAGTATACCAAAGTTGCAAATAATTTTAAAATTACAAAGCATAGTACAAATAATCCAGAAAAGTCTACCTTTGCCAATTAAAAGTACGATCATGCTTATTATCTTTGTCATCAACAACTTCATCATTATTACCATCACCATGGTTTTCACTGGCATCGTTAGTCTGCCCAACCCTGTTATCTACAGCATCACTGCCATTGCCATGGTCATAGGTATCTTCAAATATATCATTTGAATCATAATCATCACCATCAGTATCAGTACCAGCATCACAGAGTTCAACACACTCATCATCTTCTTCAGGTGGCTGAATGAAAGGTGCAGGAGTCAACCAATCATTCCAGAAGATTTCAGAGAGTACATTATAGCCTATCCATTCATTTGCCATGTAAATGGGGCATGATATTTTTCCTACTTTAAATCCATCTGGAATCTTTGTGCACAAGAAAGATTAATGTAGTCTCTAGTTCCTTTTCATTTCATTCTAGATTGGAATGTTTCCAAACTGACAATGTTTTAAAATATATTTTCATTTGATATGAAGGTATTTACTCAATACATAAAGACAACATTTTTTGTGACCATAACATGCTAAAACCCAAACCTTAGGCTGTGATCATTAATGACCTTCCTTGATCACACAGGGAAATTTTTACTCACTTTTTTTATTACCCCTACTTGTCTTCTGAGTAACAGATATTTTGTTTCAGTGTTGGAGAATAGAACAGATGAGCTGATGCTCTGTAGAAGAAAGAGTCCCCTTTCCCTTTTGTTTTATACTCTGGCATTGGAATTAATACATATCTCTTAAAATTTATGTTAATTTCCCAGCTCTAGTTTTATACAACATAGGTTGTCTTAAAGCAACTCAAATACATTTAAGCATATTAATTCAAATTCATCTTTAAATATGTTATGTGTCATATAAACAACCTCTGAACAAACCTGAAAAGAATGTGTGTGTGTGTGGTAGTGTAGGAATAATAATAAAAGTGAAATGGAATGATCAAAAAGTGTACTACACAAAGAATTGTAGGATTTTTTATTTATGCAATCAAAGGTAATTTTATTTTCAATATTTTTTTTATTTTTGCACATTGCCTAATCATCCAAGAAATGATATGAGACAAAAATTGAGCATCTAGCCACTATTCCTTAGTTTGAAATTAGCTTCTAAAAATAGTTTTTATAATTATCTATTGAATATGTTCTGATACTAGAATGTGAAAATAAAATATTTTATGACCAATTAAATGTTTTTCCATTACAAATTTAATTTTTAGATTTCATCTTGTGCATAATCACATAGCAATGGAAATCTGCCTCTGAAAAACTAACTTAAAAACTAAGCACTTTAACCTTTCCCTCAAGTAAAGATAAAAATATGCAAGTTAAAAAAATTAAAAGTGAAAAAGGTATATAAATGTATTAAGAGTTAAGATGGAAACCTACATGGACATCAACCAGCAACTTCTGATCAATTGTAGAATTAGGAGACGATGACTGGTATCTTGTCCCAATTACTGGACTTTCTTCCTTGGAAGATTCTGTGGAATGTCAAAAAGACATAAGTAATAATTGTGTTCCTAGCCATTGCCTTCATATTTATAGTGTACCATTGCTATCTCTTGATTTTTTTTAAATTTAGACTCCATTCAGGAAATATCACATGATTAATTCTCATGGAGCCAAGATTCTAAGTTCTGTTTTCAGTGACAGTGACAGGCTCAAGGTTTGTACTGTCTGTAGAATTACATGCCTATTCAGTTTTCAATATTAGGAGAACACTTGTTAAATACTTCTATCTGTAAGAAGTACTTCTTCTATGAGAAGATATACAGTAAGACTGGTAGACAGATAGTTAAATGTATTAAGAATAGGAGGTGCTAGGAGGTACCACTGTCCTCTCATACTAACCACTAGACAAAGAAACCAGTGCTAGCCAGGTGGCTCAATTTGTTGGAGTGTAGTCCCATATATCAAAAGTTCACATGTTTGATTGCTAGTCAGGATACATACCTAGCTTGAGCTTGCAGAGTTTGATCCCTGATCAGGGGAGAATATTGGAGGCAACCAATTGGTGTTTCTCTCTCATATCTCTCATCTATCTCTCCTCTTCTCTTCTCTTCTCTCTCTCTCTCTCTCTCTCTCTCTGTCCACCTTCCTCTGATAAAATTTCTGCAGGAAATAATTTTCTTTCAAGTCTCTTGCTGTGTTATTAGGCTAAATAGGAAGTTTGGGTAAGAGTTTGAGATTTTGAGGCAAATTTATAGTAAGGTGCTCTTCTTTCCAGAATGATGAACTATACAGTCTCATGGGAACTTGAAATGGCCTATGTAGCCCACACAATAAAATAATTTCAGAGCTGAATAGAAGTTAAGCTATAATCCATACAGATGTGATCCATCCATTTCTTCCTCAAGCCACTGTTCAGACTGCTTTGAGATTCATCCAGAATTACTTTATTTAAAACGAAGTGATATAAATAAACCTTAAAATTTTAGTTGTTTTCCCAGTATTACTGAAATTGCCCTAAGTAAAACATAAAGATTCTGCAGAAAAAAATCCTAAAGTTACTCCTCACACAGTTTTATCTTATTTCTCACAAGATAATATTTCTGCACAAGGGGACAATACTATTTAAAATAATTCTGTCATTGTCTGAGCCTCCTAAAAAGAATATGGGTTTTAAGTTCAGGTGTGAAATCTGATTTTATGCCTATATATCCATTTAATTATTAACAATTTATTAAAATCTGTATGCTGAGATTAAGAAAGAAGTCAGAAAGTGAACATCAAGAGCTCAAAGAAATTTATCTTGAACAGCATACAAGACAATGTTGAACTTGTGAATACCAGCATACCTGCTCTGAGGGGAAAACACACCAATAATGGAGCCACCAACAGGCAAAGCCCAAGTGCAATGACAGATCCAACACAAATGGAAGAAAGGGCAACCATACAGAATCTAGATAAGGAGAGAAAAAGTCCCACAGAACTCCTACCACACAAGTTCATCCTATAAAGACAGCTGGCAAAGCAGAGCATTTGGGAATCACAGAAACAAACAAAATGAGTCACCTAAAATGGGGAGACAAAGAAAAAAAACAGATGGTCTAAAGGAATTCCAGAAAAAGAGCTAAATGAAATGGAGTCAAGCAAACTATCAGATAAAGAATTCAAAAGAATGGTTATAAAGATGCTCTTGGAACTCACTGATAACAATAAGGAATTGGGGGAGAAATACAACAGTCTGAAAAAGGACATAGAAATTATAAACAAGAACTAGGAAGAAACAAAGAAATACAATATCTGAAGTAAAAAATATACTAGAAGGAATTACCAACAGGCTGAATGAAGCAGAGGGCTGGATTAGTGAGCTGAAATACAAGGCAGAAAGAAAATACCCAGGCAGACCAGCTGCACAAAAATATAATAAAACATATGAAGACAGCTTAAGGGAACTGAAAGACAACATTAAATGCAACAACATTTGAACCACAGGACCACAAGGAGAAGAAAAGGAGCAAAGGAGAGAAACCCTGTTTGAAAAAATAATGACAGAAAACATCCAGAATCAGGAGAAAGGAAAAGCCACACAAGTTTAGGAAGCAAAGAGGGTCCCAATCAAGAAGAACACAAAGAAGCCTACTCCAAGACATACTATAATTGAAATGCCAAATTTTAAAGATAAAGAGAAAATATTAAAAGCAACATGGGATAAAACAAGAAGTAGCATACAAGGGAGCTCCGATAAGGCTAGCAGCTGATTTCTGAACAGAAACACTACAATTCAGAAGGGAATGATATGAAATATTCCAAATAATAAGAAACAAAGGACTGCAACCAAGACTACTTTACCTAACAAGGCTCTCAATTGAAATGGAAGGCCAAATAAGGAGTTTCCCAGAAAAGAAGGCTGAAAGAACACACCTCCACCAAACCAGCATCACAAAAAATGCTAAGGGACTGCTTTAAGAAAGAGAAGAAAAAGAGTGAAAGAGAGAGAATACAGGTAAAAAGGGAGAAAATGAATAAGTGCCTATCAATAACAACTTTAAATGTTAATGAATTAAGTGATCCAATCAAGACACATAGGGTAGCTGAGTGGATAAGAAAACATGACCTGCACATATGCTGCCTACAAGAGATCCACCTCAACAAAAGACTTATGCAGACTGAAAGTGAAGGGTTGGAAGACAATGCTCAAAGCAAATGGAGAGGAAAGAAAAGCTGGGGAGTAAGACTCATACCAGATAAAATAGACTTCAAAACAAGGGCCATAAAAAGAGACCCAGAAGGAAACTTCATACTCAAGGAAAGAATCCATCGATAAGGCATAAACACTATAAACATATATGCACCCAACATAGGAGCATGCAAATACATGAGGAAAATCTTGGAGAACTTGGAGACAAGTTCTCTTCTCTCTCTCTCTCTCTCTCTCTCTCTATATATATATATATATATATATATATATATATATATATATATATATATATCCCAAAGCAGCAAAGTACATAGACTGTACAAATGCACAAGGAGTATTTTCAAAGATAGACCATATGATAAGACACTAAATAAGGCACGACAAATTCAATAAAATTGAAATCATACCAAGCAGTTTCTCTGACCACAAGGTACTGAATCTACAAACCAACCTCAAGGAAAAAAAACTCAAAAACACTCAAATTCATGAAGATTAAATAGCATGCTATTAAACAATGAATAGAAGCAAATCAAAGAGTAAATCCAGAGGGTTATAGAAATGAATGAAAACGAACTCACAACTACCCAAAACTTATGGGACACAGCAAAGTCAGTCCTGAGAGGGAAGGTCATAGAGATATAGGCCTACCTAAAAAAGATAGAAACATTAGGAATGAACAACCTAACCCTACATGTACAAGAACTGAAGGAACAACAACAAAGACAGCCCAGAGAAAGTAGAAAGATGGAAATAAACAAGATCAGAGCAGAATTAAACAACATAGAGACTAAAAGCACAATTCTAAGATCAATAGATCCAGGAGCTGTTTCTGTGAAAAGATAAACAAAATCAACAAGCCTTTAAGCAGACTCATCAAGAAAAAAAGAGAAAGGACCCAAATAAACACAATCAGAAATGAATAGGTGAGATTACAACTGATGCCACAGAAATACGAAGGACTGTAAGAAATTACATGAAAAACTATATGCCAAGAAATTTGAAATCCCAGGTGAAATGGACAAATTAATAGAAAAATACAATCTAAAACTGAATGAAGAAGAAGCAGAATGCCTGAATAGAGAAATAACAGCTGAAGAAATTGAAGTAGTAATTAAAAACTCCCAACATACAAAAGCACTGGACTGGATGGTTTCACAGGAGAATTCTATAAAGCATTTAAGAAAGAAATAACCTTATCCTTCACAGACTATTCCAAAAAATCCAAGACAGAAGATTCCCAAACTCTTTTTATGAATCCAGCATCATCCTAATCCCAAAACCAGATAAAGACATAACAAAGAAAGAAAATATATGGCCAATATTGCTAATGAACATAGGCACCAAAATCCTCAACAAAATATTGGCACACCGCATTGAGCAATACATTAAAAAGATCATACAACATGATTCATTGGGATTCATCCCACAGATGCAAGTACAGTACAATATCTGCAGATCAATAAAAGTAATACATCACAAAAACAAAAAGAAAGAGAAAATTACATGATCATATCAATAAATGTGGAAAAATCATTTAATAAGGTACAGCACCCATTTATGATAAAAAAACACTCAGCAAATTAGGAATAGAAGGAGAATTCTTCAAACTAATAGAAGGAGAATTCTTCAAACGAATTCTTCATATATGAGAGACCTACAGCCAACATCATACTCAATGGGCAAAAACTAAAATCTTTCCCACTAAGATCAGGAACAAGACAAGGTTGTCCACTTTCACCATTTCTATTCAACATAGTATTGGAAGTCCTAGCCATAGCAATCAAACAAGAAAAAGAAATAAAAGGCATCCAAAATGGAAACAAAACAGTTATTGTTTGTAGATGACATGATAGTGTACATACAAAATCCAATAGACTCCACCAAAAAACTTCTCAACCTAATAAATGAATTTGGCAACACAGCAGGATGCAAAATCAATACTCTGAAATTGAAGGCATGTTTGTATACCAACAATGAAATATCAGAAACAGAAATCAGGAAAAAAAATCCACTTGATATAGCAACATAAAAAATAAAGTACCTAAAATAAACCTAACCAAGGAGGTAAAAGATTTGTACTCAGAAAACTACACAACACTGAAGAAAGAAATTAAGGAAGACACCGGCAAATGAAAGCATATACCTTGTTCATGGTTTGGAAGAATTAACATCATTAAAATGTCCATACTACTGAAAGTAATTTATAGATTCCATGCAATACCTATTAAAGTACCAAGGGCATATTTCAAAGACATATAACAAACACTTCAAAAATTTACATGGAACCATAAATGACCCTGAATATCTGCAGCAATTTTGAGAAAAAAGAACAAAGTAGGAGGGATCACAATACATGATATCAAACTGTATTACAAGACCAGTGTAATCTTAAAGCCTGGTACTGGCATTAGAATAGACACATAGAGCAATGGAACAGAATAGAGAGCCCAGAAATAAACCCAAGTCTCTATGATCAATTAATATTTAGCAAAGAGGGAAGCAGCATAAAGTAGAGTAAAAATAGCCCCTTCAATGAATGGTTTTGGGAGAGCTGGACAGCTACATGCAAAAAAGTGAAGCTTGATCACAAGGTTACACCATACACAAAAAATAAATTCAAGGTGGATAAAAGACTTAAATATAAGTCTTGACACCATAAAAGTCCTTCAGGAGAGCATAGGCAAGGAAATCTCAGACATTCAAACTAGCAATATTTTCGCTGATATGTCCCCTAGAGCAAGGGACATAAAGGAAAGAATAAACAAATGGGATCTCATCAAAATAGAAAGCTTCTGCATGGCTAAAGAAAAGAGCATAAAAATGAAATGAGAACCAACTCATTTGGGAAAACATATTTGCCAACGATACCTCACACATGGACTTGATCTCCAAAAACTATATAGAACTCCAGTCTGGGAAGACAAACAAACAAACAAACAAACAAAAAACTAATTAAAAAATAGTCAAATGACCTGAACAGACACTTAACAAAAGAGAAGGACATACAAGGGGTCCAGAGACATATGAAAAGATGCTCAGCCTCATTAGCCATCAGAGTGATGCAAATTAAATCTGCAATAACATACCACTTCACACCAGTCACAATGGTCATCATAAACAAAACAAAAAGTGTTGGAGAGAATGTGGAGAAAAGGGATTCCCTAGTGCACTTGGGATTGCAGGCTGGAGCAGCCATTATCAAAAACAGTATGGAATTTTCTCAAAAAACTAAAAGTGAAACTGCTTTTTGACCCAACAGTTCCATTGCTAGGATTATATCCTAATAATCCTGAAACACCAATCCAAAGCAAATTATGCACCCTAATGTTCATAGCAGCACGACGTACAAGAGCCAAGTGCTAGAAGCATCCTAAGTGTCCATCAGTAAATGAATGGATCAAAAAACTGTCTTACAGTTACACAATGGAATACCATGCAGCAGAAAGAAAGAAGGAGCTCCTACCCTTTGAGAGAGCATGGATGGAACTGGAGAGCATAATGCCAAGTGAAATAAGCAAGGCAGAGAAAGAGAAATACCATATGTTCTCACATTTAAGTGGAACCTAATCAACAAAACAAACAAGGAAGCAAAATACAACCAGAGACATTGAAATTAAGAGTAAACATAACCAGAGAGGAGATGGGAGTGGATAATGGGTGGAAAAGGGTGAAGTGTTTTAAGCAACAAATATAAAGGACACATGGACTAAACCAATCATTGTGCAATCAGGGGAGGTCAGAAGGGATGGCTGGGGTGAAGGAAGGGAGGGGGGAAAGGCAGACAACTGTTCTTGAACAATGTAAAATAAAAGAATGTAAAAAAAAATTAAACAGTAACAACTATGTGTATGCTACATTTTTACAGGTGTTTTGGGGACTCGGATATGTTGTCCTTGCTTAAATTACTTGGAATGCTTCAAAGTAGATAGTGCCAGATTTTATGACCCAAGGCACAACTCTTGCCTGCATTTCCCCATATTTCAAAGATCTGTAATGAATTTAGCCTCCCAAAAGCACATGATAAAATAAAACACTGGTTTGAATGTCATATCCCGATTTTTTATGTTATTTTCAATGATTTTATTGATTAATTTATGTATTTTGAGTAAACACATCAATTTGTAAATTTAGAAATGTTAATGAGGTACTAGATATCTTTTCCTTCAGGAGTTGAAATAACAAACTAATAAATAAAACATATGCTCACAACTATTTTCTCTAGTATTTCTATATACTAAATATACCATATTTTTGGACTGTAAGACATATTTTTACCACAATCTTTGCTTCAAAAATTTCCCCTATTTTCCTCCATTAAAACCTAGGTGTGTCTTATGGTGTAGACCCAAGATGCACCTAGGTTTTAGAGGAGGAAAATAGGGGAAAATTTTTGAAGCAAAAAATGTGGGGGAAAAAAAGTGCGTCTTATAGTCTGAAACTAAGGTAGCTCATAAATTTAAGCCTATTGGAGAGGACTCTCCTAAGTTCCTTTACTATATTTTTCACACATATTATATAATTAAAATTGGCACACCCCACCTTCCTAGACATTCCCAGCTACTCCTCAACTGAAAAAACAAACTTTAGAAATATTAATTTCCATTTTCAGAGGATACCAGTGACTACCCAATTGCCAAATCCAATGGCCTCCTGGTCTTAATCCTACTTGGCCTCCCTGATATTTTTAGTTAATTTTTATTGAAATTCTTTCTTGACTTATGCATATAAATTAGCACTAATCAACTCTGTTGTTTTGACTGTGCTTTGAATCACCTGATGCTGCTGGGCAATTTTGAGGATTTTGCAAACTTCTTTTGTCTGGTGTCAAGGGGCTTCTCATCTTGTTCCAAAAAAGACCACTGAAGAACACTAATGAAAAGGCAGAAAAGTATGTGCCATGTGCTAACATTCATAAAGGGAATGTACAACTCAGCATGCTTCAACCCTTTTCCCTGAAATATCTTGACTTGCATTAATGCTTTATGTTCCTACATTTATATTAAAAATTTCATACACAAATGAAAATGGAAAAACTGCCAATACCTGGTTTATGTCTCCTATTTTACACTTGAAATCACATATTCAGGTACCTTTTTACCCCATGGAAAAACATATCTAACGTTAAGAACGACCAAAAACAGAAAAAAGAGAGTTTTTTTTTTAAGGAATGAAATGTTTCCCATCATAGTGGATTTTTAAGCACATTCTGCACATATATGGCTTGCTAGCTGGGTGTCTTTTGGTATAATTGTTACACATTTGGCATGGATAGCACACAGGTTGGTGCCTTCAAAAAGGCCAACCAGATAGGCTTCACTTGCCTTCTGCAAAGCACCAATAGCTATTTTCTGGAAGTGCAGATCTATTTTGAAGTCCTGGGCAATTTCTTGCACCAGACATTGGAAGGGAAGTTTGTGGATCAGAAGTTCAGTGAACTTCTTTTTCTTCTTGGAATTTTTTTATTGTTGTTCAAGTACAGTTTTCTGCCTTTTCCCCCATCCTTTCCCCCAACCCCAGGCCTCCCCACCTCCCTCCCCCACTTCCACCCCCCTTGTTTTAGTCCATATGTCCTTTATAATTGTTCCTGTAAACCCTTCACCCTTTCCCCCCATTATTACTTCCTGTCTCCCTTCTGATCACTGTCAGCCTGTTCTCAATTTCAATGTCTTTGGCTATAATTTGCTTGCTTGTTTGTTTTGTTGATTAGGTTCCTGTTAATGGTGAGATCATATGGTATTTGTCTTTCACCGCCTGGTTAATTTCACTTAGCATAATGCTCTCCAGTTGTATCCATGCTGTTGCAAAGAGTAGGAGCTCCATCCTTCTTTCTGCTGTGAAGAATTCCATTGTGTAGATGTACCGTAGTTTTTTTATCCATTCAAGTGAACTTCTGATAATGTCTAATTTCACAAATTGCCACAGTACCAGGCTTGTAACAATGAGGTTTCCTCACACGCCCAGTAGAGGGCGCACTATTGGTAGCCAGTTGCTTCCTTGGTGTTTTACCACTGGTAAAAGACCAATTTGTGGGTAGTCTGCTTTGTACCAATCATGGTATAGAGACCTTTTTACTTACAATCCTTCTCCTTCAGCTGGAGCTCAGCAAGCTGGAGGAGGTGCTGGCATTAGAGAACCATAAAGGTTGTGAACACCAGTTTTAGTCTTTTAAATGAATTAAATATTTCATTTTGGGGGTTTCAATTTCTAGTACATTAAATATTAGATGTCACACAAATCAAGTGAATAACAGTCTTTAGGGGTTCTTCAATGTTTAAGAGTATAAAGAGATCCTGAGACCAAAAAGTTTAATAACCACTGTTACAAGCACTTATTAATGTCACCAAAACTAATTTTAAGAAAGTTACCTCATTTCCTTTAGGATTTGGGAGATATGGTTGGACAAATGGTTCTATTTGGAGTTCAGACTGAATCAAATTAAATACTTCATCATTTTCTGATGATTCATTTTCTTTGCCTTTTGAAACAAAATGAGAATAAATATCTTAATTGTTGTTAAAATGCAAATGATAGGAGCAACCCCATCATGCTGATGCATGATATAAATGAATAATTTTTAAGTATTAAAATTGATTTAGAGCAGTACTTTTCAATAGTTTTTACTCTGGATCTCTTTCAGAACCTGAGGAGTGCTACAGATTTTCCATTAAACTGTATATAGACATACATGTCTGCACATATTTTCAGAAGAATCATTGACCACTTACAGCTCAACTATTACAGCCAGATTAAGAATCTCTGGATTTGCAAAGATATATGCACCACTATATTCCCTGCGGCATTATTCACAATGGCCAAGACATGGGGGCAACCGAAGTGTCATATGACAGAAGACTGGATAAGGAAGATGTAGTACATATATACTATGGAATACTACTCAATCATAAGAAAAGAGAAAATACTGCCATTTGTGACAACATGGATGGTTCTTGAGAATATTATGCTAAATGAAATAAGTCAGTCAGGAAAAGTTAAGAATCATATGATTTCACTCATATGTGGGATATAAACCAGAAACTCACAGACACAAACAGCAGCATGATTGTTACCAGAGGGGAAGGCATAGGGATAATAAGGGGTAAAGAAGGTCAAACATATGGTGACAAAAGATGGGTTGACTATAGGTGGTGGGCACACGATGCAGAACACAGATCTTGTATCATAGAAATGTAAACATGGCTGTCAGATTGTTCTTTATTTTCATGTCTCTGGTTCTATTTGTTTTATTGATTAGGTTAACTTATAGGTGAGATCATATGGTATGTATCTTTCACCTCCTGCCTTATTTCACTTAGCATAATGCTCTCCAGTTCCATCCATGCTCTCACAAAGGGTAGGAGCTCCTTCTTTCTTTCTGCTGCATAGTATTCCATTGTGTAAATGTACCATAGTTTTTTCATCCACCATTTACTGATGACCAGAAGGGAGGTGGGTGGGGGATAGTGGAGGAGAAAAGGGGAAGGGTCAAGTCAAGGAACATGTATAAAGGCCCCATGGACAAAGACAACAGGTGGAAGATTGAATGTGGGAGAGAGGGATGGGCAGGGCAGGGGAGAGCAATGGGAGAAATGGGAACAACTGTAACTGAAAAACAAAAAAATAAAAGAAATGTACACATAAAGCCTGTATCTTATTAACCAATGTCAACCCCCAAAATGTAAAAATAGAATATCTCATCTAAACCTTAACTTATAACACCAAACTATCTTGTTAAGTATGCATTATAACAAGAGTTATAACTGCAGACAAAGTTTGTCCTCTTTTGCAATGGAAGACCTGAAACACAGCAGTGTAAAAATGTCTCCCTAATTGATCCCTGGGAGAGATTTCAAAAGTTTCATGAAAATTTCAGATATTCCACCCACCAATATTTTCACTGATATTTCACCTAGAGCAAGATATATAAAAGAAAGAATAAACAAATGAGACTACATCAAAGTAAAAGGTTTCTTCTGCATGGCTAAAGAAACATAAGCAAAATGAAAAGGGAACCAACCATATGAGAAAATATATTTGCAAATGCTACCTCAGACAAGGGTTTGATCTCCAAAATATATCAAGAAATCATATTACTCCACATCAGGAAGACAAACAACCCAATTAAGAAATAGGCAAAGGACCTGAACAGACACTTATCCAAGGAGGACATGCAGAGCGCACAAAGAGATATGAAAAAATGATCAGCATTTACTAGCCATGAAAGGGATGGAAGTTAAAACCATAATGAGATACCACTTCACACCAGTCAGAATGGCCATTATAAACAAATCAACAAAAAACAAGTGCTGGAGATAGTAGGGAAAAGGGAACCTTAATACAATGTTGCTGGGAATGCCATTTGGTGCAGCCACTATGGAAAACAGTATGGAATTTCCTCAAAAAACTAAAAATGGAATTGCCTTTTGAACCAGCAATTCTATTGCTAGGATTAAATCCTAAGAACCCTGAAACACCAATCCAAAAGAAACTACTCACTCTAATGTTCATAGCACAATTTATAAGAGCCAAGTGTTGGAAACAATCTAAATGCCCATCAGTAAATGAATGAATCAAAAAACTGTGGTACAGTTACACAATGGAATGCTATGCAGCAGAAAGAAAGGAGCTCCTACTCTTTGCTACAGCATGAATAAGCATTATCCTAAGTGAAATAAGGCAGGAGGTGAAAGATAAATACCATATGATCTCACCTAAAAGTGGAACCTAATCAACAAAACAGCAAGTGAGTATAATATAACCAGAGACATGGAAATAAAGTACAAACTGACAGTGATCAAATGGGAGGGGCAAGTAGTATAACAGGGAAAAGAAGGGGAAGGGTCAAGTCAAGGAACATATGTAAAGGACCCATGGACAAAGTCAATGGGGGAGGGGACTGGAAGTGGAAATGGTGGGTGGGTAGGGCAGGGGAGAGTAATGTGGGGAAAATGCAGACAATTGTAATTGAACAATAAAAAATGTTTTTCCCCCAGTTTGTTTCCCATTTAAGGCAGTCAATATTATTTCTTCTACTTAAAGAAAGTAATAGAAATGTGTTTTCTTTGCTTCTGGTGAGTTGAGGCACTCACATATATCTCTGTGGGCTAATAACTTTTCATGTATTTCAAAAGACTTATGACTTTGACTATAGTATCAATAATTTACTTTTCCTTTACTTACTAACTTTTTATTTCATTTTAGAGTGGCTTCTCACATATATGTTTAAAATATCAAATGACCCCTGGCTGGCGTAACTCAGTGGATTGAGCATGGGCTGGGAACCAAAGCATCACAGGTTCGATTCCCAGTCAGGGCACATGTTTGGGTTGCAGGCCAAGGCCCCCAGCAACTGCACATTGATGTTTCTCTCTCTCTCTCTCTCTTTCTCCTTCCCTTACCTCTCTAAAAATAAATAAATAAAATCTTTTTAAAAGTTTAAAAAAAGATTTAAAAAATATCAAATGACAATAAATATGTGCATACTACTGAGAGTTCTGCAGGAATGCCCCAAAGTCTTTTCACAAATGCAAAATCCATTAGATCCACTCGTTACTACAGCTCATTGAGAATAGTTATTACTTCAGGCTAATATCACCAATCTAGACTCATATTTCCTTGTCTTTATCTGGTTTCATTTCCTCCCTATCTCACATCTTTGGAAAATCAGACACCCATTTCCGTTTTTGGGCTTTTCTTCTCTTGCTTTTAAATTTTTTCACATTAAATAATATCAGGGAAGTAACATTTTTTTTATTGGCTCAGTAGACACAAACCAAAAGACTCCCATATCCAGACTTTCAGACAAGGTTCATTTTTGATTACTACATTAATTATTATTAGACAAATGGATGTTGATACTAGGGTTTAATTCAAGATCATCACAATGATTCCTTTTATGTAAATGAATACTTTATACTATTAGAAAACAAATGCTCTCCTAATTTTCTTGACCTCATTAATTAGCTTATGAAGCCCACAAATCCTTTGTTATCAGATCAAATTTGCCACATTGAATTCTTCCACTCTGTCCAAATTATATCTTCTTATATTAGAGAATTTTGAAGGAACAAAGTTTTATTGACTATTCCAAAATAAGATAAAAAGATTAATATATTGCATCACATATTTTGAAAGAGTCCAAAGATAAATTTATAATGTGGCATGTTCTATGCAGCCACTTTAGTTATTAATTGTATAAAATGTTTGGAAAATCAGTGAGACAAGACATACACAAGATAACTATATACAAAATGTTTTGGAAACTGGTTTTCCTTCTCATTTTAAGTTTGACTTATACGCCCTGAAGCACATAAATTAGTGCAGTTCACTTAAATGGTACAGTTCAGCATTCTATGGAAAGAAAGAGCAAATAAACTAACTTAGAGGAATACAGTTAAATTTGTTTTTGTAGTTATTTTTAATAAGTTGGAACGTTTTTAAAAAATAATCGAATTTACTTGAGTGACATAGGTTGATAAAATTACATAGATATTGTAAAGTTTGACCTTTTAAAGTAAATTTTAAAGATCCAACTAGTAATTTTAAATATGTATATGAGATCCCTTTATTTGTTAAGGGAATAATAATAACAATAATAGGTAGAAAACTAATAATTATAGTTATGTCTCAAAAGAGATACTAAGTAATTAGCTGGATCATTCAACCACATTTTTCTTTCTTAAATTAAATCACAATTATCTGGAAATTTCAGGATTTATTTAGCTAATCTTCTCTGGGACACAAAGAACATTTTTTTCATTTGATTTTACAGAGGTAAAACATATTTTCTCTGCATATTTTACTCAGTAAAAATATCAACAACTCTTACACTTGCAACTTGTCTCAGTTCTTCCTCATGTTGATTAAAGATATCCTCCCATTTGTGTTGGCACCTTTGCCTGTAGGCTTCTAAATATGAGAGCTCAAACTCTGCAGGTCTCTGTGATAATTTTGCCAAGAACCTCTTTGGTGATAGTCTTTTTGCCAATGCCTTCCTTAGACTAGAAACCTTTGATTTTTTATTTTGTGCCTGTTCTGGTTGAGAGTAAAACATGTTTGATGACAGATTTTCCAACAGTGTTTGCAGTGGACCAAGTGGCTTGGGGTTATGTGAGTTTGGTGCTTGAAATAAGTTTCTTGATAGTCCCTCTATCAGTACTTGAACTGAGCCAAATGCCTGTGGGGGTTCTAGTGCCCACACCTGTGCTGGAAGTGACTCTTTGGTTTGCCCCTCTAATGGAATGAGAACCCAAGTATCCAAATGTAGTTGCAACAGCACGTGGTGGTTCTGTGACAGTAGAGGCAACAGTAGCTGGGCATATACTTGTAATGAGTCTGGTTCCTCTGCTTCAGTCTTTGCCTGTGTGGGCTCAGTGGCCTGTTCCTGTACTGCTGGATGTTTGGGCACCTGGTTCTGCCCCTGCTGTTGTTCATGGGTTTGGCCTTTCCTTTGTTGTTGTTCATGTAGCTGATCTTCCCTTTGAAATCCCTCTGGTACCTGGTCCAGATCCTGGGGTTCTTCTAGTGCTTGAGGCTGGACCTGACCTTGCTGTTCTTTGGGTACCTGGACCTGTAGCTGTAGAGGCCTAGATGCTTTAACCTGAGCATGTAGTGGCATGAACATCCAGGCTGCCCTCTGTAGTCGTGGAGGTGCTTTAATCTTCCTCTGTAGGGGCCTAGATGGTTTAGCCTTAACCTTAGCTTGTAGTGGCATGAACAATTGAGCTGCCCCTTGTAGTTACTGATTTGCCTGGGCTTGCCCCTCCAGGGACCTAAGTACATTGTCCTGACCCTGTAGTGGCTTGAACATCATGGTTGCTCCCTGTAGATGCTCTAGTGCTTGGACCCATGGCTCTTCTTGATCAGGTAACCACATTGGCTGAGAGGGCTCTCCATGCAGTGCTCTAAGTGGTCTGCATCTATTGCTGCTTGGGAGTCTCAGAAGCTCATGAGTACAACTAGGTCCTCTAGAAATAAATATTCAAATGTTTGCTATATATTAGAATTCGGGGGAAATGCTTTTATTTTAAAAAATGAGTATTTTCTAGCCCTTGGCTGGCGTAGCTCAGTGGATTGAGTGCGGGCTGCGAACCAAAGTGTCGCAGGTTCGATTCCCAGTCAGAGTACATGCCTGGTTGCAGGCCATGACCCCCAGCAACCGCACATTGATGTTTCTCTCTCTTTCTCCCTCCCTTCCCTCTCTAAAAATTAAATAAATAAAATCTTTTAAAAATGAGTATTTTTTGCACTAAAGATATTTTAATAAATATTTCTTGAATCATTATTATAATGTCTAAAATATTATTTGTATTACTAATATACTCAATATTAATAGTCTGATAATCTAGTTGGTCATTCTATTGGAGAAATTAAAGAATCTTTTGATAGTAGTCAAAATTTTTCTTCAACATTTCCTCTCAAATATCTCTTGAAAATAGAGATCTGTTATTGTTGTAGGAAAAAAGATTAAATTATTCTGATTCAAATGCAACAGAATAGAAATTAACTCTCTTACAGCAAATTGTTAACAAAAAATTCTATATGTAATTTGCCCAACACACCTGAATCTTCTCATGGTGTACTGCTCCTTAATAGCTTCTCTTTCAAAGATCAGAGGTATTCGTTTTTATGAAAAAAAAATGCATAACAATTAGCAGAGATTGATGTAATCCAGTTTATCCAGTTTTCACTCTTTATTGCCCAGGATGTTGAGGGAATTTAAAAGAACAAGGAGGTAACCCTTCAAATCACACCTGATTGGTGATATAGACAATATTCAAGTTCTTAGGTTCACTGTTGCAGCACAGTTCAGCTATTCCATACAGACTAATTTCTCTGATCATAAGAAAGAAAACTTAATCTGATTGCTACAATTCTAAAGAGAAAGGATTGAGAAAGGCACAAGGAGAAAGGGACAAGAAAAACTCTAGATGGTTGGTAAGCATGCTATCAGTATGTACTTCAGATGTGAGATTTTATAGTTGGAGTTACATATATCTTTGATTCTTTTATTTATTATTTTTTGTCAGCATTAAGGACTTTTTTATTGTTGTTCAAGTAAAGAGGAATTTTGAAAATCAGGATAAGGATATTTGGTCCTTTCAATGAGAAGTTTAAAAATCTAAATTGTGGGTTTCACACTTAATGCACAGAAAAGTTCAGCTTTTTTCTCATCAGCTGAGCTCTACTGAAATATAGACACAAACAAAAAAAAATTTAAAAAATCCTATATTGAAGTGTTTAGGGCAACTATATTTGCATCTTCCATGTAATCTTCATATGAATTTGACTTTTCCTGTAGGTAACAATCAAGAAAACTTAGAACTCTGGAAGTTAGCAAATAAGTATATATGAGGTCTTTCTATACCTGTTTGAGACTGTCCGGCTTTTGTGATGCCCATCCAGTGAATTCTCCATCATGACTAAATAAATTAATTTATGCTGGTTCTCACTCAAAAAAAAATGATATGTATAGTCATGCAGATGGAACACATTCCACTGTAGCCAATCCTGTAGCTGATCTGAGAATGTCTGCTATATTTGAGTTCTCCCTTTTCCACCCTATTCCCACTCTCAACTTTGTCTATGGTGCCCCAAATTAAATGTGGAATATACCATACACCCTATAAGGTAAAACTTACTAAATAGTTTCTTCTAGATTTGATGAAAATACATCCTGCCATTTTTGGCATTAACATATATGAGCTTACTTTTATTCGTATGAATTAGTTCCTTTAGTTACATCCTGCAGCTGGAGATTAGTATATAAAACAAACTCTGTATGGTGTACGGACTTAAAAGTTAAAAGTCAATAAACTGTGAGAGTGGCCAGTGAGATGGGCAGAGGAGGGCAAAGGGGGAAAATTATGGCAATTGTAATAGAATAGCAATAAAATGATTAAAAATAAATAAGCAGTTAATTGCAAAGCCATTTATCTCATTGGAGTTAATTCAAATGTCACAAAAAAGAACAGTAAGATATAGATTTTATATTTCTGTTTACTTTATTTATTTAGTTAGGAGTTTTTTAAAATTGTTTCTGCTATTACAGTTGTGCCTGCTTTTTTCCCCTTTCCCACCTCCACCCAGCCGCACCCTCTCTTCTTCTTCAGTCAATCCCCATATCATTGCCTGTGTCCATGGGCCATGCATAAATTTGTTTGGTCAATTCCTTTGCCATCTTTCAGCCAGTCCCCCACCCCAAGTTTTTTAAAAATAAAATTAGTACATCATAACATTCTTCCTGAAGCTTTTGAGGTCTTTGTAAATGTGAACCTTTGCCAGCTGTAACTGGCCAAAGATAATAAATTAAGTGCACATGGCACATTACTAGAAAAAGTAAGTACTAAGGGCCTCAGAATTTTTACTTTCAATCTAATTCTACTAAACAAAATATGTTTTCCTGAAAAACATGAGTGTTGGGAACCACTGTGCTTGGTTTCAGAAGCTGTAACCGCTGCCCACCCCCCACCCACATGGCTAAGGCTGAGTGAGAGACCTTGGGACCATAAGCAACTAAGGAGACAAAGCTTATCTCCCTGGCAGGTGTGCCACTTCTGCCCCCTTTTACTTCACCCTGTTTGGCCCCGATCAGATGACTGGTTAGACAATGATGGGTAAGATTCCTCCAGGGAGGGATGACCTAAGACAGACAAGGTCACAAAGGGGCCCTCAGGGAAGGACTTGGGTGGCTATAAAGAAAGGGGGTGATGGACCCTTGCCCCTTCACTTTGACATAGCCTGAGTCCTCATTCTGTCTGCAAGAAGTCTCCTAATCTCTTGGCTGCCTTACTTCCCCTGCTCAATCTAAGCCTGAAACAATGCTGGAGGTGGGTGTGGCCCTGTCCTGGAAAGGGCGGGTTCCCCGGGGCAATCAGGCCTAAGAATGAATGCATAAAATCCTGTAAAACCTGCTTTGCTAATACCCTCAATTTAAATGATAAGTGTCCAAGCATAAAATGAGTTTGTTTCTCAAAGTTTTATGGCCCTTTAACTATTTGACCTTGATTCAAACTAGGCCCTCAGAGTTCTTTGAATGTTATCTATTTGATCATTACTGCCTGACAATGATTGATGAGCTTTCCATATATGCCCTGTATTCCTATGCAAATTAAAACCAATAATAAAAGCTTGTCAAGGAAAAGGTCAATGCACTCTCCTCTTGAGAGTGTGGCCAAGGCTTTTTGTAGTGCTCTCCCCTTGAGAGAGTGGCCATGCCATCCCTTTTCCTCCACAGGACTTGGTAGTCCACGTGAATTTGTCTAGTCTCAGCCATAACGCTGCAGACACTGTGGGCCAGAGTCCACGTCACCCAACAGTGTGGTGATTACGGGAGGCAGGGAGTACAAGGAGACTAAAGAATAATAGAAAAAATACAATGAAGATTTTTGTAAAAGTTGAGGCTGATATGAAATGACTCAGGAAGTGATCCTGAACTTGACAAATGGATCGCCACCAGGGTCTTTTGAATCTTTATTATCTCTAACTTTCATTTGATGGTAATTTTAAAAGCTTTCTTACTATTTGCATAAAATTTCAATTTGTATAACATCTTCAGGAATAATCTGATTTTACTATGTAAAATGCATTAATGGTATGTAAAATAAAGAAAACTTTTAAATGAAAGATTCAGTTAATCTCCTGTTCTTAAATCCAGTGGGAAAAGATACCACATTTTTGTTGCATCAATGAATTAAAAAAGTGCAAATTTGCATGAAAAGCAATTAATGGGTAACCTCTATCTTTAGTTCTCCACAGAAGTTCCTTCAATTACGTTGACTAGTGGAGTTAGAGGAAAATAACATTTTATCTTTTTTTTTCTGAAATGAACAGGGGACTGAATATATTTAGTCAGTTGTTTTTCTTCCTTAACTTATTCTCTAAGATGGGCAATGACTACTATTTGCAACAGTATAGATGAACCCTTTGCAACCCTTTTTACATTTAGTATAACTGTGGCTGGAGTTTTAAAAGTTATGAATAAATATAAGGCAAAAACTAGGTTTTTTAGTGTACCCAAGTATTCATAACACATTTTGTAAAGAGAAAAAAGTTTGACATCTTGGAGAAATAGCTGGCAGCTACAGAACATTCTTTAGCATTTCCCTAGGATTTTCTAGTGGATTTACCAACAAACATTCAACTACTAGGGAATGAATGTAGACACCTATTTGTCTTTAGAGGGATGTGGTGGAACCAGATTTCTAGAGCTGGAAGCCCTAATAGCAGTTTTCTCTTTGCATTAATTGTATGACAAAGGTATGAATGAATAAAGCAATCAACTTAGAGCATGAGAATCATAAAGAAATTCAGGTTTTAGTCTCATCCCATCCCCTAGTAAGTTATGTTCTAATTCCTTCTACCTGTTTTCTACAAAGCTAAAATTCAATCCTGTGGCTTTCATTTTTGCCATGTAAGACCCTCAAACTTCCTGCTTCCCTTATGTTGTGGCTCTCCTTTGAAATGGAAACAGCATCTGCTATCACATAAAAATAAACCGCAGGAAGCAGCAATTCTCTATGTGCATGGGCACTCTCAGTTCCTAGTAAGGCAACAAGGTTGCCTTAATAGGAATGATATTATTGTGTGCAGATAAGTACACAAAGAACAGGTTAAGGAGAAACAAGGGCCAGACTGAGTCCTCTGATGTTTTGGTAGTTTTGTTACAGAGCAACAAGGGGGGGGTGCTCAAAGGCAATATACTATTACCCGAAAGGAACCCCCCAGATTCGTTATGTCTGCCGCCAGAGGAAAGATGTCTCTTAATACCAGAGATCAGTGAAAAGGAAAGGAATTTATTATTTATTTGAAATAACACAAACTAAAGTTCCCCACAAATGCACAGTCCTCCCAGCACCCAACACGTGGCAAAAGGGAACATTTCCAAAGCCTCATGGTCCTGACTCTCACCCAAGCCTTATGGTCCCAACCAAGACACCAAAGCCACGTAGTCCTAAACAGATGCATGGTCCCCAAAAGAGAAACCCGGTCCCCAAAAAGAGAGACGCGGTCCCAAAAAGAGAGACATGGTCCCAAAATAGAGATGTCTGATCCCAAATAGAGACGCCAAATGGTTGCCTCGCTGGGTTTAAATCCCAGCACCAATCTTCTTTTGCAGCCCCATTTCCGGCTCCTCCCACAATTGGCTACAGCTGCCAGCATTCTGGGCAGGTGTACTCTGTGGTGTGGAGCCAATTATCTCCAAGCTCTTCTGGATCCCATTACAAATCCCTATTTGGGGCTCCCCTCTTGGCTGCACCCTGTTACAGTTTGATATTAAGAAGCTTCCTTTCTTATCTCAGTTAGAAATCCCATAGGTAGCTATGTAATTACATTCTCACTAATTTTTACAGGTAGTAAAACTGTGTATACAGGTAGGCCATAAACAAAGTCTGTCCAGAAAAAGTAATGCCATTGTTAATATAATAAGAATAGTTTACCTGACATGATGTAACCTGGCAGCCAAGGAGAGTGAACTGGAATGGACATGTGTGATCAATGACAACTTCACTGTACTATTCAGTGGGGGTGGTAGACGCTGTTGAATGAGTGTGTGTACTGTGTGGCTGTCACACTCAAAATGACTGGCCAAGTAGAATAATGTGCCTCAAATTTTGCCTTAAGCTT